AGCACGAAGGCGGGTGGGTTGGGTATCGGTTTAATATGGGCAGTGGGCTGGGTTTGGATTTAATATGTTGGAGTGTTCGGTGTTCGGTGAAGATATATGTCATTGCTGGTTGTTGGTGGTTTGGGTGTTTCGGTGTTGCTGGTTTCGGTGTCGTTGGTTGTTGGATGGGTTGCTGGTTTGGGCTGTCTGCATTTTGACTGGGTGAGCAATCGGTGGGAATTGTTTGATGTCGGTGCTGTTGGGTTTTGACAGGGTTCAGTTGGCTTTGCAGTCGATTGGGGTTCAATTGGTTTGTTGTTGGTATGGCAGCAATCTGGTGGCAGTGTGGTGGCTTCAACGTGGAGAAGGAACTGGCGGCTGGCGGTGCTGTGGTAATTGATGATGAAGGCTGCCGGTGTGGATGATATAGAAGGTTAGGGTTAGGGTTAGGGTTAGGTTATGACTCTGATACCAACTTGAAATAAACGTAAGTGAAAAATGGATACAAACTAAGTGTAGAGCCCCCGTATATATAGTCAGTGAGAGTTACAATAAGGACAAAAAGGTAAAAAGAAAACTTAATAAAAACCCTAATAACTAGGCTGCTGCTATATCTCCAACAGTCTACGAGTTTGAACTTTTAAAGGAAGATTATGTGAGCAGAATCATCCACAACAACAACTGGAAGTGGCCTAACTCTAATTCCTTAGCCTCTCAAAATGTTGTTGGGGGCAATGCCAGCTTATGCTCCTAATTCTGCCACTGTCTTATTGAAACTAATAGCCAACTCCACTGTCTTAGGAGCAGGGGCAATACTGTAGCTTGGCATAAATTGGTTTGGTCTTGACAGTACATACCCAGAATGTGTTTATTCATCCACTTTGTGGGCACTATCCTCTCCTTATCAGGGCATGTTTGGCAGCCTAAACCATGGGATGAATTTATAGGATGGGCTGCAATTAACAATAGTGTTGTGTAGATTGAGTTTGTTAGCTACTATATATCTATCACTTATGGATGGAAAGAAATAACAGGAGATTCAAGCACCAGTTCGGGGACCCAAGCACTGTGAGCTAGCTGATCCACCAGACCATTAATTAGGAATAGAATGGTTTCCCTTAAGTTCAAATAGATATATAAATAGTTAGCAGTGGGCACTTCCAAGTTCCACCCACTTGTCAACTATCATGGTATAACTACAACATTTCTTCAATATTGTACTACTTATATTCTAAATTTGCAACTTTTGGTAGTGAATTTTCCAAGCTAAGCTAAGAAAATGTTAATAAATGATGGGCTAACACCTAGTGAATGTAGATTGCTCATAAAAGTAGAAACATGAAAACCATTATAGGCAAAGTAAAAAAAGATGGCACAGAACATAATGATGCTTGAACACAACACAAAACATAAATTTAAATTATGTAAGCTAATAAAATTATCAAAGCTCATGGTAGAAAGATACACATCCCACTTGCTCAATGTCCATACACATCCCACCCAAAGCACTGCGGCCAAAATATCCATCCAAAGAAAGGCGGCCTAAAACTTTCCTCATTTCACAAACAAAGGAACTAATAAAAACAACTTCCATAAAGCAAGAACTTTCCTCATTTCACAAAAAAAAATTGCGTAACTATAACTATAAAAAAAAATTGAAAACACCCAAATTAAACACCAAAAGTAAAAAAAGACAAATTAAAAACACCCAAATTAAAAATACCCAAATTAACCTAAATTCAAAAATCCAAACACAAATCACACACAGATTGTGTATATCATTTCATATTGTTCTACAATTGTTTGACTATTGTGTATTGCTTGTTTTCAAATTGATAGTGAATAGAGAAACACGAATTGTATATTGACTTGAGTAGATCATATTTTTTAATTGCAGTTTGAGTGCTTCCCATGCTTTTTGATTGTTTTTTTTCTTTGGGTCAAACAATGTTTTTTGATTGTTTCCCAATGAAAGCGTACTAATATTATTATAGTCAAGTATATATTCTAATATAATCAGAGGATAATTATGGGAATATCCCTCCCAAGGTTTAGGAAAATTTTCATAATTAATCTAATAAGTTAGGGGGTAGAATAAGGAATTTATTCTCTCAAGTGACAAAAGTATGAGGATAAATTTTTATTTTTGAGGTCACATTTGAATCTTTAATGCTCATATATTTATTGAGCATGGAAAGTTAAAAATGTAATTAAGTCAAATCTCCATAAAGTTAAATCTAGGTCCGTCAAAATTCGATACGAATCGACATGAATTAAGCGGGTTTGAGTGAGATTTTAATATATTTGGGTGGTAAACGGGTTGATCCGTCAGACACGTTTAATAAACGGGTCATATTTGGTTGAGACTTATTTAACCGTTTATCACACGTTTACCCGTTTAAATAAAATTAATATAAAAATAAATTAATAATTATTTTAAAAAATTAGTCAGAAAAACAAAGTAAATAAATCAAAAAAAAAAAGTAAAGTAGTAGTTCAAAGACAAATGAGGGGAGATGAGAGCAGTTCATGACAAAGGCAAGGCAATCTTTTTTGTTTTTATCCCATATCGGCAAATGAGAGGAGGGTTGCCTTGCATATAAAAGGCAGTGGTCTCTTACCTTTTTTTTTAGCCTTCAAATCTGATTTTTATGTGAAATTTGCCTAAAAATTTCTCTTTTTTTTGAGGTAAATACAATTGACAGTAAAAAAATAGTGTATTAAAATTTATTGATATAATTTTTTTTTTAAAAGCAAACGGTATAAACAAATCGTGTCATATTACCCGTTTATTAAACAAGTTATGTTCGTGAAAAGATTTTTCACCCATTTATTAAGTACGTCGTGTACAAATTTACATATTTTTCACCCGCTACTTGTTTAACCTGACACGTTTGACACCCCTAGTTAAATCTAGAAGAGCAAAATGAATTAAACTAATTAACACGAGATGAAAGACTGATTCAGTGCTAGAATTTGACTCGACCCACTGGTGATTGCAAGTTCCAACTTTATCCCCAAAGTGAACAACTTAACAAATGGGCTCGGGTCAATGATATTTGTATGGGGCCAAGTCCACACTTTATTCAGCCCAAATATATTTTGGTAAACGAGAAAAAGGGAAGTCGTACAATTTTTATGACTTATTTGAATAAAAGTTTATTTAGAAAAATATTTTGAATAAAAGTTTATTTTGAGGCAAAATGATTGAATTACTTTCTGAGCAGACTTATTGATGCATTAAACTCTCTCTTTTCATATTTACTATCACTTTCTCCCCCCCTATTTTCTCTCTCTTCCATGTGTAATCTAGACACCATTACTCTATCTCTCTTTCTATATTTTTTTTTTCTCTCTCTCTTATTTTCTCTAAAGTTCAAAAATGTGACATACAGTGACACATGATAGAGACTATAAAAGAGTGACACCAAAAGGATGCATCAAAGAGTGACAATAATATCACCTGTATCTCTTTGGTGTCACACTTTGATATATCTATTTTGTGTCACTTTTTTGTAGTCTCTACCATGTTGTCATTTTATGTTATTCTTGTTTGATTGTTGTCACTCTTTGATGTTTTTCTTTGGTATCACACTTTCATGTATATCTTTTGTGTCACACTTTTCATGGATCTTTTTGGTGTCACACTTTGATATATCTGTTTTGTGTCACTCTTTGTAGTCTCTACCATGTGTCACTATATATGTAATCTTTATTTGCTTGGTGTCTCTACCACATGTCATTGTGTATCACCTTTGCATACTTTTTCAATAGAGAGAAAAAATAAGGGAGGAAGAGAGTAATGGTGCCTTGAATCCGTGGGGAAAAGAAAGAGTTTGAGAGAGAAAAAAAATAGGAGAGAGAGTCAGAGAGTAATAGTGATAAAAAAGAGAGAAAGAAAAAAAATAGGAAGAGAGCGAGTAAATAGTGATAGAAAATATGAAAAGAGAGAGTGATAGAATAATAATAAATATTCAAAATTCAAATAAATGATAAAATCAAATCAAATTTTTACACATTTGAAAAAAAATTAAATTGTCAATCAATTAGGGGTACAACTCGGATGGTACAAGAGGTTAACTTGAGTTCAAATTCTATTCGATAATTGTCATGCTCAAGTTTTTAAGTTCACATTAAATTTGGATTATACAATTGGATTGCAATTGTATTCAATTTGGGTTTGATGATTGGGATATACAAAACGGATTAGAATTTATATTTAATTTGGCTTGAATATAGTTTTTAACTTAGATTAAACACCAATGTAATTCACAGGGTACACAACTCAAAAATATATCTCATAGGATTTAGATTGGCCCCAAGAAATCGAGATTTCAACCTAAATACAATTCAACACAATCTTATTCCAAAATTTTTTGGGCCAATTGAACGAATTTTGTGATGTTGTTTTGCTCTTTTAAGGGCCAACATGAGTATTATTTGGATTTATATTCATATTTTGTGAAATAATTTTTATATTTTTTGTCAATTATCTAACACAACTCTCCTCATTATTTGAGTTTGAGATCGACTATGCACTAGACTGGTGAAGTTATAAGTCTCAACCCAAATATTTTTTAAATTTAAATTGAATTGTAATTTTTTTCTTAATGCCAACAATGGTATGATAAATCTTTTCTCAAGTCTAGAATATTTTGATATAGGCTTTGGTTTGGATTAACCCCTCGAGATACACAGTACCTATGAGTAGGGTTGATGGTTCGAATTCCTCTTTCTCTTTTTCATTTTTACATTTATTTTTATTTGATCGAATTTGAAGTTTATCAAGTTCTATTTTGAAAGGTAAATAAGTTATTTTGCCATTAAAATTTCTCATTAGGGTCTTTGTTTTAATTTTCAAATGTGAAGGAATGGACAGAAAATAAACTCATATTTTAAGGGCGATTATTGTAATTTACTCAAAAAAATAAAAGAAAAAAAAACTACAAGATAAAAAAAAATAATAAGGGAAATTAAAAGGGTCAGCCTGGTTGGTTAGACGGTAACTAACCGGACATCAGCTGGGCAAACTGCAGAACAAAGTCCTCCCGCCAAACGTTATCGGCTTATCCTGACATCCAACGGTCAGAGAGAGAGAGAGAGATTCAGCGATGTCCATCTCCTCTGTTGCTTATTCTCTCTCTAAACCTGCCCAATTCACATTCGAATATCCCCAAAAGTACTGCCCTACAAGTACAAACTCCAAAAAATGGCGTATCAAAGCTTCATCCGCTGCCCCCGGAGTTGATTTGTCATCTCTGGACTCCGCCATTGCCAAGGTTCGCCTATTCTCTCTCTCTCTCTCTCTCTCTGTGTATATATATATATATATATATCTACCTCTGTCAAAAAATAATAAAAAAAAAAATTACTATTTAAAATATAAATGTTGCACGATGAATGCTTGATTTTTGGTATCATAGAATGTCTTTACTCTTTATGTATGGTAATCATGGCTAGTATATATGTAATATACGTATACATTGTAAATACTTTTGGTACTATTGTGAAAAATAATTTTAGTTTGATTGAATTATTGCCACTATGAAAAGAAGGGACATAATTTAGGGATTTAATTTAAGAGTCATCGGATCTGCAGCAAGTCTCAACATTAAGATAAGTCCAGTATCAATGTATTAGATTCCCAAATTACGTGCATGCACCGTTATTATTGTTGTAAAAATAATATAATAAAAAAACTTTACCCGTCTTATTGTAGAGTAATTTTTCGATACTATAGTTGGACCCTATATTGCGTATAGTTATTTTGAGGGTAAGATGGTTGAACTCTGAGTCTCTTATTGTTTTAAAATCATTCCTGAACACCAAGGGCTAAGAACCCCAACTGCAAACCTGCACATATTGTTTGCCTGAAAAGTAATAGTGTGTTGATGAAGAATAACCTTGGAATGTCCTTAGGGTGGTAGGGAGTGAGTTTGGATGTGCTTCTATTATCCCCTGAAATTTAATGGCCTACATTGCACTTCTTGCTGCACTTTAAGTGAAAATTTGTAACCCAAAATAGGGACATTAAGGAATATAATGAAAGATTGTGTGGACATAAGGAATATAATGTAAGATTGTGTGGGACCTAATAGTACAGGGCATTTGACCCAAATTTGGCGGGTTTGGTAAAAGGTTACTATTGTATTTCGTCACAATGGTTTGTAACGTAAACACTGTATAATAATGTGTTGGTCAGCCTCCTTTTGTTTTTTTCCTGGTTTTTCCACATGAATCCGTGCATTCTCCCATGTGATTCTGTTGCATTTTCATTTCTCGTCCTTCTTTTATGGTACTAGATCCTAGGTTAGGGAGGTTAACTCACCACTCACTAGTGAAAGAGGAGAGAGAAAGGACCAATTGGTGGAGTCCAATCCCCAGAGGACAAAATAGCTATACTTAGTGACTAAGAGTAGATCTCTCTATTTTCAGTATTTTGTTGGTACCCATCATTATTGGTTTGTCGTAAAACAAGTGGATTCAAAGATGAATATGAATTAGCCAGACTACCACTCTTGACAACCATGGCTGAAGTTTGTGAGTAATCACTTGTGCGCGTCATGTTTAATGTTTGATTTGCCTCAGATAGAAATTCTATCTAGTATATTCTTCCTCAATTTTTCTCAATGACATATTTCCATATTGAGTTGATCTCCCACCAATATACTATGGTTGTTCTACCATTGTAAAATTTGATGGAAAATATATTGGAGGGAATCTGGACCTAGTTCCTCTCCAAGTAACTCTTGAGCACCCTAAGTTGGTGGGACCAACACTGGATAATCGGAGATGGAGAGGGGTGTTGGAACGGAAAGTGGTACTTTAGGATACATAGCATTGTAAGGTGAAAATTGCAGCATGTGGACGTCTAAGGGGAGACAAAAATTAGTATGTTCATTTGAATTGAAATTACAATTACTTCGATACTGCTATTTGCATCTCTTCCATTTACCAGCCAAAACAAGAGGTAGTGAGGAACTCCACAAATTTTTATTCATGGCATATTCACACTAGTACTTGGCTTCTTTGGACTTGTGATTATGCATGGGCAGTGCAACACCTTTTACAACTTGATGGCTTTCTGGATGATAAAGTGCAAGAAACGTTGGATGTATGGGATAAGGGGTGATGCATTAAATCCCTTCCTGTGCAGTGGTTTTGACTCTGTACTGGATTTTTTTTCTTGTGGATCAATAATCAGATGTGTGTTTCAGGAAAAAGACATCATGGCCTCAGCAAACCAAAATTTTTCCTCTAAGCCAGCTGCATTGCAAAAGAAACCAGCAGCAATCCTCACAAATTAAACCCTTGAATCTTGAAAATGCTTAATTGTTAGTGTAAGATTTTGAATTAAGGCTTAAACATCTCTTTGATATGTTGCAGAAAGATAGCAATGCAGTTAAAGAGGCACTCGATCAGCTGAGTGAAGTTGGTTGGGCCAAAAAGTGGAGTTCCCAACCGTATGTTTCACGTTGTACGGTCAGTCTCCATTAAAAGTGTGAAGTTCTGGGAAAAAGCTAGCCAAACATTAGCCACATCTACAAACCTATGCATACATGTACATCAATAATGTATATTTGTTCACTGCTTTGAGAACTTCATTATCAGTTCAGTTGCTGGGAAAGGTCAAATTCTAACTTTTTCTTACTTATGTAACAGACATCTCTTCGGGAGCTGACAACGCTTGGAATAAAAAATGCAGAGAACCTTGCAATTCCAAGTGTTAGAAATGATGTAAGTTTTAATGTATTGACACTCTTATTGCGGCTGTCACAGCAGAAAGAGCATTTGAAGCATGCATTAGTCTCAATTGATACTTCTTTGTGCACCACCCTTATCTGTCCAATATGATATGCAAAAGTTAGAGAAATAAGGAAAGCAGGAAATTTATGGGCATGAAATAGGGTGAATTTTTTAACTGGAGCAGGAAATAGGGTGACTTTTAACCTTAGTCTGGCAACAGCAACCGGATGTTCCATTTGTATCTGGATTTCAATATCTTGTCCTCTTTCAAAAGGCAGTCTTTGTCTAATTTTACTTTAGCATTTCCTGATATGGTGGGGCTGTGGAGGGTTCCTGGACTATTGAAATTGATGATATGTGTGCATTTAAAGCAGCTTTTTTTCCTTATGGCTTGGAATTGGTTTCAAAATATTCTTCATGAAATTGATTTTCTTCAGTGACGCAGGCGGTGTTTCTCTTTACAGTGGTAGGAACAACGGGGTTTTTGGGTGTTCTTGCTGGCCAGCTTCCTGGGGTAACTTTAAATACTATCCTAAATATCTTTATGCGGCCAGATTTTGTCTCTTGGATATCATTGTACTCATTTCAAATGGTCAACTAGATCTCTACATTGAGTGAATGTAAATAGTCTTAGATTCTGGATGATTGACATTCATTAATTAGCTTTCTGCTTCAATAGATTGGAATGGTTATACATTTGACATAAGGCCCTTCAGCATATTGACTTGAATGGTTATATAGAATTTGCTTATTTAAACCTCTAGATGGGTATCTACCATTTGATTATGCATGATAATGACAATTCACTCCACATTTGTGTGGCAATGCCTGTTTTCTAAATTGCATTGCACTCTTCTTAAAACTGAAGGTGTTTATTTTCTTTCTGCCTAAACAGCTGTTTTATCAGTATCTTGTTCTGGGTCAGTTTCTTTGGATAAGCTATAGCCATTCTTCCTTGTGCATGTCCCAGATTGGCTAGCTATGGCATGCAACCTTAGACCAACTGCATTTTTCATCTTGACTTTCTTGTTCTGGAAGGCGTAAATATAACCATATTTACAGCATACATGGGACAATATTTCTGTCCGATGACGACTGAGGGAGCTGAGGAGTTCAATCTTAATCTGTCTACTTAGTGTCTTAGGCAAATGAACCATCAGTATGGCTGCGTTGCCGGCAGAATGGACTGATATGTGTGATGATTAATTTGAGCCTATTCGATACTGTCCTTGTCTGTTTAGAAATTCTTGCTGCATATTCTAAGATTTCCCTAAGCTCTCAGACTAAGAATGCTTATATTGTGAATTTGTTTGACACGATTAAGGATCTAGTTGCATACCACAAAAACGGTGTTAAGATTAACAGTTAGCTGCAGATTATAGTGCAAAAGCTTCATATTTTTTGAATGCATTGTATGTTGGATCTTTCTATTTAAATCAGGATAGGCTATTAACACTGGGTACCATGCATGCATATCAATAGGGGATCCCATTCAGTTTATGTGTCTATATATAATACATATTTCCAGGTGATGATGTTCGCGTTTCAGTTTCTGTCATGATTGGACATGGATTTTCCTGCAAAAATATTATTTACATGTTTATTTTGTTGAGGTTGTAAGATTGATGCTCTTGTTTGCTTTATAAAGTTAAACTCGAGAAAACGAAGCATCTTGACATCCATCAACTCTTTTGAACCGTTCTCTGTCATTTAGGATTGGGGCTTCTTTGTGCCATACTTGATTGGGAGCATCTCTTTGGTAGTTTTGGCTGTTGGAAGCATTTCCCCTGGGTAAGTCATGAGGTTTATGCAAGGTATATTTCATACCCTACTTGTCTTGCATGTAAATGAAACCTTTCTGTATTGGATGTTATTCAGTAATGTTGTTTATTTGTAAAAATAAAGAATGAATAAGGGTTAGCATAATTCATGAATCACCTGCCAAAAAAGAAAGAGTGCTTATAAGCCACTATGCTAAATCTTATTCTCACATCTACGATGTAGGCTTCTTCAGGCTGCCATTGGTGGATTTTCATCATTCTTTCCCGATTATCAAGAGAGGATTGCTAGTCATGAAGCAGCTCATTTTCTAGGTAATCTCTCTCCATGGAATTCAATATCCTTTGTCTAAGTTGTAGCTGATACAATTAAAATCTTAGTTTGTTTGTGTTGAATTGCTTAGACGCTCTCAATACAAGCTTGACTATAAAGAGAATTTGTTTTAGTAGATGAGAGAGGGATAGAGAGTTCCTATCTTTGATGCTCATTCTTGTGTGTACTTACCTGTTTGGCCAGTACAAAAGGCCTATTTGTCAAAGGAAACAACTCGATGCTTTGCAAGTATCAAACCGTCAATAAAGGGTTATAAAGTATCACTCTTGGCGGTTGCTTGAGGTCCTATCTAGTAGGCAACTTGAACTTATCTCTGACTTGAGCTTGATGTATGATAAGTTATCTAGAAAGTGAAACCTAGAAGGCAGTCTCTCCTTTATCCTATGAGTGACCTAGTCATGAATTTGACATCAACCAGTGAACTTGACTAGTGGCTATGTCTTCTGGTGCATTCCGGCAGGCACAGGCATATATACAACTCTGGTCCGAATCATCATCTTTTCTAATTTTAGGCGTACTCTTAGGTGACTCCCAACATAATATCAATCACTCAAACATGCTTCTTTTGTCGTTGCTTGCCTCCACTGCCAGTTCTTTTTTCTTCTGATTGGGCTTCTTATGACCATGGTTTGACAAAATAACTTTTTGAATTCAGTTGCCTATTTACTTGGTCTTCCTATACTGGGCTATTCACTGGATATTGGGAAAGAACATGTCAATCTAATTGATGAAAAGCTAGAAAAGCTGATATACAGTGGACAACTTGATGCAAAAGAACTAGACAGGTATCATTCTCAAACCTGTACCTATTAAAACGTCTGGATAAATTGCATAATCTTACATTTCTTTCTACTTGAATAATGGAAAATAATTTGCCTTTGGTGATTTGTAGAATTCATCATGTTTTCTAGGTTTTACTTGAAAAAATAAATTAACAATGCTAGCCATCTTTTTATATCATCAGTGGTATGTAAGTTTGTAGAGCACGTTCCAATGTCGTGGTTTCCAATTACCGGTTGTGAAGATGCTATAAGAATGATTGATGTGTATGTTGCCCCCGCCGGCGGGGGGGGGAGATGAGAAAGTGGCCCTAGTTGATGTACTGGGGTGCTATTTTATCATAGACATCATGAGCAATGAACCATGAGAATGTCACATTCACTGGCTTCAGCTTTTGTCATCTTGGCTTTTCTGAAGAATTTAACTCCTGTGGGCTGTGTTTCCTATCATTGTCTGTGTGTTTTCTGTAACTTGTATGTGTTTATCTGTGACTGTAAGGAACTCTTGTTTACTTCATGCTTGTTTCGTTCTTCTTCGTCTTATTCAATTTTCATTTTTCTGTTTGTTTTAAGTATATCATAATCTGTCACTTCTCGTCACTCTATAGCAGAAATACAAATGGGGCAACTCTGTAAAAACTGTGAAGTGTCCTAGTGTGATTAATTGACAATATTGGATTGATTATATGATTTTTTTCTCTTTAAATTTGGATGGCAAAGGGAAGATTTGAAAACTATGTTTTGACTAAGAATGTCAATCAACATCAACTCGTTTCTCAGGCTGGCAGTTGTAGCAATGGCTGGATTGGCAGCAGAAGGTCTAAAATACGATAAAGTGGTTGGGCAATCTGCTGATCTTTTTACTCTTCAGGTTTGTAGATGCCAAAAGTCTTTGGACAAATCACGCTACAAACTCGACAGCATATTAAAATAAGTTGATAGAAGTTATAATTCAAGGAGTCAAGTTCCGACTCAAGGGAGATCAAAGTTAAAAAATTTGGGACTGATCATAAAATAGCCAATTAGATCCTAATAAGTTGGCATTGATCCCAAGTTTTTGCATCGATGCTAAGTCTACTCCATTGAGTCGTAACTTGGTCTGTTTGAGCTGTAACTTGACCTGATTGGGATGTAACTTTTGGTCCAAACACAGAAAAGTCATTGTAAAATAGCCCCTTGTGGATGCCTTCATGAAGTCAAGCTTCTACAGATACTGAACTATAATATCTATTCACTTTCTTCAATCTTCAGAGACTTATAAACAGGAGCAAGCCCCAAATTAGCAAAGAACAGCAACAGAACCTTACAAGATGGGCCGTAAGTTCCTCAACCTATGAATGGTTTCTTACATATTCATGACTCTAATACTACTTCAGTGCATTCTGCACTAACAAACTTTGCTAAAAGCTTTTCTCAAATGAAGCAATTATATTAACAGTGGTGATGGTTGAGAATATGTTGCAGGTGCTGTTTGCCGGATCGCTCTTAAAAAATAACAAGGTACTTCATGAAGCTCTAATATCAGCAATGTCAAAGAAGGCAACTGTAATGGAATGCATAGAAGCAATTGAGAAGACTGAATGACTTCATAGAGCACAGTATCCTAGATTGAGAAAATTAAAAGGTTTTTATTTTCTTTTTTTTCCAATGTTTTTATATTCAGCTTCTTAATTTTTTCCCAGTGCTGGAAAATTGGATGTAGTGGACTCTCTGTCCTGTTTAAAAAAAACATAAAGTTTCATTGCATTTGACATCAACACGTACATATAAATCATAATTTTGTGGACAGAAAGGAAAGATTACAACTCTTTGCGATAGTTAACAGACAAGAGCAGGCCAGAGACCTATTCCATATGAGCTAGCGAGCCAATGAGATGTGTAAACCATTGAGGGAGCGTCTTTAGATTCTGCTTAGGGCTGACTTTCACTTTCAGATCAAGAACGTCGACTTGTACTTACATTATCGAGAAACCTAAGAGAAGAGGCTCTTATCTTTGGTCCTTTTTTTTTTCCTTCAGTACAACACAGGAGAGTGCCACCTTTTGTTCATCCGAGTAACTTTTCAAATTTTGTATTGAACGCACGGCGTAGCTAGGGGTAACTGTGTTTTGGCTAGAGAAGGTGCCCCCAACACCTCGGTCTACTCGGGTGGCCCCCCCCCCCCCGGGTTTTGATCCCAAGTCATTCTTTCTTGTGACACATCACGAATTCACTCTATCTCATCTAGAGTAGAGATGAGCGAGTATTGCAGGACCAAGGTAACTTACTAACTCTCGCCATTTGTCAATCGAGCCACAAGAATGTAAAAATATCAAAGTTTTATAATGCACAAGGTGATAGGGAGGCCGGAGGCAAAGTGATTAAACTGGTCATTCGGATGTGAAGTGAGTTTTGCCTTGAGATGAATTTTCAAGGATGGATGATCAATCTGCTATATGTTATACGGTGACAGAAGTCATCTTCCATTTGAACTGGAACCATATTTGCATTTTCTTTTTTAATGCATATTGCTATGTTTTTCCAACCGTGCAATCTCCTAACCAAAAAGACGTATGCACAAGGTTCTCATTTATAATTGGTAAAAACTTTATGCTTTTGGTGATTATATGCCATCTACGGGGCTGTTGTCCTCCCAATCCCCAACCCCATCTATTTAATAAGATAGCTGGCTAGCGATTTGAATTTTATTTTCACATTTTTTTTTGCTCATTTTTATCATAAGTTGAATCATTTAATTTTTAATTAATTTGTGGTTCAATATATTTTTTATTTTAGATATTGTTCATATAAGATATTGTGCACACGTTGATATTTTTTTGAAGTAATGTATTTTGAAAACAAAATTATTTTTTTTTATGGGTAGAAATTTATTTCAAATAATGTAAATAAAGAAAGTGAAGGAAATAAAAAATGTTATTTGATATAGTAAAATTGATTTTTTAAATGCTCAAATTTTATATTGTACGTCTGCCTTCAAGTACAAGTTATACCTAATAATTTTACATCGGATATATGTTTGTTGGCAAGGGACTGTATACACAATTTATTAGCATGTAACTTAACACAAAACTCAATCGGAAAGTTGACCAGCATTTGATTCCATGTTTTATATTTTCAGAGCTGGGCATGATAATCAAATCAAGTTTTATAAAATCAAGTCTGTCGAACATATTTTTTTAAATAAATCTAAAAATTATTCAAATTCAGTTTATTTTTTAAATGAGTTGAGCCAAAACCGAAACCAAAATGAGCCAAACTCGAGCTAAGTCTGAATAATTCGATTATTTTACATATAACGAACCAAGTTTTGCTAACTTGAGTCAAACCTTTTAGACTAATTTTTCTACACGAGTCTAAAAGATTGTTTGAGCTCGCTCGAATCAAACCCTATACGCATCGAACTTAAGTTGAGTCAAGTAGCTCGATTCGATTATCAACCCTACGAAAAAAGCAACATATTCGACAAAATATGGCTGATAAGCAAGATAGTCAATAAAATATACAACATAAAAATGCAATTTTAGATAAATAAATAACTGAAAAAAAGAAATTCAGTTTTATTTATTGGAAAGCAACATTCACATCTGCTCACTTGGACCTTGGAAGTCGTAGGGGTCTTCAGGAACTGAAATTTGATCCAAAAGTATCAACAACCATACAAACATAGACTCAAATATATTATTGATCTATGGTCAAGCTACACGCACTTGGTGAATGAAATCCGTAGTTTCGTCACCTTGGTACATTGCCATTGGAGTGCTCAAGGTACATGGAACTACAAATCCTCCAACGCCAGTTTCCTATATGAATTCCAGGGAAATTTTTCAGGGCAGGTTCAGCAAACTTTTACGGCAACATGTCAAAATCTTGTGAGCCATTTTTGCACTACACAGCAAGCTACCTTCTTTCGTTTGTTCTTTTTTTGAGCCATCATCTACAAGGGACAATAGCTGGGTATATATAGATCTCATGCAAGTTGAATTATTGAGTTGCGATAAAGCTCCAGCCACTTACAGCGCAATCATCACAGCCGCCCGTACATTGAAAGCATATCCCTCAGTTTCTTTGCTTCGGTATTCAAATTGTCAAAGCTCGTGGAGCTAGGTATCCTCCAACTCCAATTTCCAAACTGCATCAGAAAAATGAAATCAGAGGCAGAATCCAGAAAATCTTTCACAAAAAGAAGAAACACATCAAAATCTTTTGTCCGTTATTGCAATATACAGCAAACTATTGCATACGATTGTCTTTTGACTTTTGAGTCATCATTCCTTCTCTTTGAGAACATTATAGCCAACCTGAGTAGAGGGATCTAACCTTTAGTATAGGGAGTGTTTAAGAGAGAATTGTCAAGTTTATAGTGAAAAGTCCCATATACGTAACGTAGCCAAGCACCAAGTGGCCAGGCAAAAGACCACCTAGGTTCTTTTTGCAAAAGGCATATGTTGGACAAAGGATACAGCATGATATTCTCCTACATATTCTAATTCTCATTTCTAAGATAATTTCTTTTAAAAAATGGGTCCACACACAGGCTGGCTGCATGAACAACCCAAAATCATTTCAGACCACCATTGTCTAGCAGGTCAATAAATTATTGTTTGTTGCAGAAATTGCCGGTTTCTAATAAGCAATATGAAGTAAATTAGTCATGCTATTTAGAATTATATTCAAATCAGCATGTTTAATTTCAAATATGTAAACTATGCTAGGACACATTCTTTAACCAGGTCTTAAGCTTGACTAAAAATGTAATTAGCTTATAAGATTTTTGGGCAAATCAGCCCCTCCAACCAAGTTTCATAAAGACTAGGAAGACAGCATCACTACAGCTCCCCCGCAGGCCACTGACAGCCAAACAAAATAATCCGTCACTGAATCAGATATACGGTTTAGATTTACCTGAGTTGCTGGAATATTCATCCTAGCAGAATTACCAAGCCCAAGTATATCCTGCATGGGTATGATTGTGGTACGGGCCACAGACGAGAGTGCAGCCTGGCTAAGTGCCCATGAGATTTCATCTTCTTCAGTACTCGGAAGATACTTCAGTACCTGACACAGCAACTCCATTAATATTCAAACAGAACAAATGATCAATGATGTCTAACTTGCAGATTGAAAATTAACAGAGTGACGGAATTGTATTATGATGCAACACTTACATTGGACTTCTCTTCTTGTTGCAAGACATCCCACCAGCCTTGGATCTATAACAAATACAAACTGTCAGCAAGCAGCATTTGAAACTTGAAGTGAACCAATGACAATGCAACCCCCCCCCCCTCCCCCCCTAATAACAGACTTCATAATTTTCCCTCTCTCAGCCAAATGAAAAACTGAGAGACTGTGAGGTCAAGATTGTGGGATGCGTAACCTGTAACAGCTGGCCAGATTTTTACTTCCTAGACCTGAAAAAAGTAAGGCTATACAATTAAGATTTTCTACCAGACTGATGTGGCCAACTCACATTCTTTCATTCCAAAACAAAATATTAATACCCTGATATTTGCAAAAACTCCACTGTTACATCATTCTGATAATAAATTCTGGTTCTATAGCATTTTCCATCCATAAAATCTGGCTAAGAAAACAATTTTCTAGAGGTGGAACAAAGGTCTCAAAGCATGTCAAAAACAAATGACACCAAATCAATTTCAACAATTGCTCCATGTGATATGTATTTTCACATTACACCACTCAGGCATACCCATTTATCGACAAACCTACACAGATGTGAGGAATAGAGAATGCACCGTGTCATTATCATGAGTACCAGTGTAGACTACTTGATTCTGCTCATGATTATGAGGCAAATGAGGGTTTTTTGCATCACTTCCAAAACCTGGACCATACATCTTATAAACCTTCAGGCTTTTTATTCAGGGTATTTACAAGCAGAATAGAATTAACTTAGCAGGAAATTGCTACCAAACTGGAGGACAGCCATTCCAGGCGCCCCAATGGATTTCCTAAGCTGAACTACATCCTCTGTGATTACTCCCTGCATGTGGAAGCACAAGCAAGATTTATTTAAAAAAACAAAATAGCATTATAGGGAGTAATATTTGAGTATCAAGCTGAAGTAATAATTGAGTATATCATGATCCAGTCTCACGAAACATACCAAGTCTTCTGCTATAATATTGACCTTTCCAACTGCTCTGAAGATGGCATCAAATAAAGACTTTCCAGGTCCCACCTACTGTCAACGAAAAAAAAAAGTCAAGCATGGATTTGTTGACATAACTAAGAAAAGATATCACCAAAAATGATACGAAAAGGAATCTAACCTTCCAACGCCCAACCATTGCAATTTTTGCTTCTGCACATGTATATAAACATGCATAAATGTCTACAGATATTGTAAGCATCAGCTGGTGTACTCTAAGTTAATCATGACCTCACCATAAGGAACAGCCCAAAAGCCAGCAAATCCTCTGAAGTGATCTATCCTGAACTCATCAAATAGATTCTGAGCATGTTTTATGCGACGTATCCACCATGAAAATCCATCTTTCTCCATTGCTTCCCAATCATACAGAGGGCTTTTAAGTCAAAAAAACATACTGTTATAAATGGACTACAGAACAAGCAAGCTTCAAAAAATAGATTAAAGGTAAAAGGAAATATATGCTCATACGGTACGAAAGGAAAGACAAGTAGAACAATATAAACAAGGAAATAAACCCTTTCCAAATGACAGTATTTTGAACTGCATGATACCTGTGGCAAGCAAAAACTAAGGATGCAGAAATCAGCATCTGATAGAATGTAAGATTGGACAAAAGTGTAGAAGAGACGAAGATTAAAGAAAATAAGCACAGAAAGTTAACTGGTTCTTGGTTCTTGTTTCAGTCCCTAAGCAAAAGCATACTTGAGGTAATTCAGGTGGATATCATGACTAACATTATCACCTTATCCCCTCATCTTTTCCCAAATACTCCCTACATATGGACATTCACTGTAGAGTATTTGATGCCCAGAAGAAACTATCAAAAGATTGCATACAAACAGAAAGATCTTTCACAAAATATAGAATAGGCCAGAAGAATATAAATATAAAGTGTTCCAGAATGACAATCTGTTTCAGGACGAGGAAATTCTGTGTTCTAGTCAAAGATTTGATGACGACATTTAGTTGGAAAAAATGTTAAACCAATGTTGTGACTACAAATGTAAGTGAGTGGACAGATGTTAAGCAGAAAAGTAAAACAGTAGCTTTAAGAAGATAAGTATCACAACTATAGTTGGCATTTAAACCAAATCTTCAACAATTCACGTATTTTTCCACATGATTACACAGAAAGCTTTCAAAAATAATGATTTCAATTTAGAAAACCTTATAAAGGAGAGTACATGTAGCAAGCAATTTATGCACAGGAGGTTATCCAGACAAAAAAGAGGATTAATAATTACACTCTGAAAAAGTGTAAACCTGCCCCAAAGCTGACCAGTTTGACTGAAGGCGTCGGGAGGAACACCACTAACTAGAAGAGGAAAACCATTCTTGTTCTGCCAGACAAAAAGATAGTGATCAGCACTATGGATAGTATTTCAGAAGCTTGGCTAAATGATTTAAAAATCCCAAATTCCTGCAAGGAACTACTCACCAGCAAAAACTGTTTCTTGTTAGACCAAACATCTGCACTGTGATAACCAACATAAATGGGCATGTCTCCCATTATACTGACCCCCTTCATCTGTGCATAGTCACGAACTTTTTGCCATTGCCTTTGGAATAAGAACTGTTGAGCAATGAATATATTGATCTGTACAAGTAAAGAGTGAATAGGTTGTTACACAAAAAAAAAATAGGTTGTTACACCCTATAGCATTAAGTACAGGTAGCGAGTATGACCCATAAGCATACCAACTTACAAAATCCTTTTTGTTCTGATAAATTTCTTCTAATGCCACAAGATGGCGATTCTTCAATGGTTCAGGCCACTCATACCAACTTAATGCATTTAAAGAGTTGTCAATAGCAGCAAAATATGCTGCATCTTCAAGCCAACCTACAAAAGCCTCTATGTCAAATCAAAGAAAGCTAGTTCTACTCATTTTCCAAGGGAATGTATTAAAGGTGGCATCAGAGAAGGTGAAACTAATTTGCAATGCATCCGAATGCAATGCTTGAAGCAGTCATCAATCATCAACGTATGAGAAAATGGAGATGAAATAAAACATAACAAGTACATAAACAACATCTGCCTTCCCCCCAACCCACCCCACCCCACAAAAAAAGGTAATAGAAGAAGAAGATATAACTTTATCACGTTTACTTCTTCAGTCAATTTCAACTTGGCTGCATTCCCTGATTACACCGCACTTTATATGGTGAGAAAATAAAACTATGGAATAATAATTAGCATCACAGTAAAAAACACAATTTCACACTAAATTCCTTGTTATTTAAAGTTTACTCAGAATAATAATTACAAAAAGGAAGTATACTCACTTGCAATATCGGGGCCTTTACGAAAATCTTCAAGCTGACGTTTGAGTTCCCCTTCACTCGATACAAGCCTCTCTGCAGCCTAAGAAAAAAAAAGGAGTTTTTGTGTAACATTGGTATGAGCTCCAAAATTTGAAATGCAAACATGACCAGTGTGAGGAACAAGGCCAAAAAAAATACAATCAAACAAGAATAATTGTGGACATTTTAGAGTCTAACCAAATGGTCAGAAGCCAATAGAGATATCTAAGCCAAACTTTAATCTTTGACTCCAAATAGTATTATTTTTGAGAAGCCATTGAAACACTACAAATAAGAACCCAATTAACTTCATTAGGGTACCCCAGAATAAGTTTTTTTCTTCCTCCCCGATGCTTATTTCTCAATTATAAACAACTTTGTATCTATATTTAATTTCAACAATATCCAACTACATTTCTACAGGCCTAAAAACTAAAGATAGCGTTTTAGAGAGTTTTTGAAGCCTCTGGAAGGACTGTTTGTCCCCAAAATCCCATTTAATAAATACTGACAACCAGCAGAGAGGATTCCATCAGAAATTGTTCCCCTGCAAAATTTCTTTCCGAAAAGTAGCGTAAGGTAGCTTTTGAAAATTACATCTCGCCAAGTCATACATTAACCTAAGGTCACATTGTAATACAATATCATACCTAACCCACCTGCTATGAGGATACAAATTTATAATGGATGTGGTGATGGAGAACTGCATCAACACAGCCACGAGAATTGAAGAAAGAGACATTGGCATTTGGGAAGGAAGAAGGCAGCCATGCACTATTTTCATCTCTCTTGTTTTTTCCATTTTTGTGATTGATCAGCATTATTTTCACCAGATTTTTTTCTCTTTTCCGATAGGCAAAAGCCGCAACACCAATCCTTCGTTCATAGTCTGTGATTCTTTTACAAGATAGTCCATTTGAATGCAGGTATCAAGCAAGGAGTAAAAGGCAATGATGCCAACTTGAATCTATTCTTTCAAGTAGAACAGCTTTTATGACGTAAAAAGGCTTTTGGTTTTTAAAGGGAGTTTGAAAATGTTGTTCATCAAACATTTTTTTCTTGTTAAGTCTTCCAATAAAGACTTTCACTCACAGTCCTTTCGCTTGAAGGTCTTCCTTCAAGAAGCCATGGCAAACAAGCCCAAAGTTACTTAAACAAGTCTTAAAAGTCCTTAGCTTCAGTGTAAACTTCGAATGACTTCTTTTTCTCATATCTTCCCACTCACTGATCTAGAAGTTTCATGTAATCTTTGATTTCACCCTTCTTTTGATGAAGCTACGTAACAGGCACTCAAAATGCACATAAACGATAAGGATTAACAATCATAGGAGTAGGCTGCAGGACAAGGTAGTGGTTATGTGAGGCTGCACCAGTGGTAGTGGAGTGGTTGCAGGAGCAAGTACAGTAGGAAAGTAATTGTTGAGTTATGAATTGGAATTTATTGATCAATAATAGTGCCCCTTTGTTAATTATAGATGAAGCACAAGTACACAAGAAAGGATAAAGATTAAATTAAATGCTACTTTAAAGTGAATATTTAAAATCCATTCAATCCTAATGCACCATATAAATTTTACATACAAATTAAAGTAGAAGAAGAAGTAGTAACACTGCTCTTGAAATTTTACCTTGGATATCAGAGGATCCTTTATGTCAGCAACGGCTGAGAAACTAACACGGTCCATATCTCTGCAAAAAACAAAAGGTTAAAAACGAGGCAGATACTATGACTATAGCCATGAACCAATTATGGGATGCAATCATATATCACAATGGTGAATCATATATTAAAGAATCTCACAATGCTTTTGGCAGCTCTTCCTTCATCAACAAACCATCTTTTACAAGCTCCTCAAGAGAAATGAGAAGGGTGTTACCACAATTGGCATCCTGAATGTAACCATTAATAACTGTCATCCTCATAACACAAAACATACAATAATAATCGAACTTGATCAGTCAGGGAGAATATAAGAATACTAGTTATTGCTTGTGCCTGAAGGCACAGAGTAATAAAAAATAGTAAACAATAAACATATTTGTATTTATATCCAAAATCAAATCACAAATATAGAGAAGAAATAAAGGAATTTAAGCATCGATTTGTATTGGGGGTGAAAGGTGGTAGGCGACAGTAGTGGTGGTAGGAGACAGTGATGGTTATGTTGGGTGACAATGACCATAATGGCCGTGGTGGTGGTGGTCGTGGCGACAGTGATGGTGATGGCCGCGGCAGCGGCGGTGGTGGTGGCGGCGACGATGACAAGCAGTGGCGGTAATGGAGCGGTTTCATTTACTATTTTTTTTTAAAGTACTTATGATATGTAATTTTTAGAAGTACTTTTAAAAAGTCACTTCAATCACACCTTTAAGGGTTTTTTTTTTCAATTAAATTTAGGGTGTTAATATTAACCGTTAGATTAACTTTAAAGAAAAATTTAAAGCGATCTCAACCGCGAATAACAAAAGTCATTTTATTTATCTTTTGAGATTTGAAGTTGTAAACTACTTTATTATATAGATTTCCTAGTGTAAAAACTAAAAGTAATAAAAATGCATTACATACGAAAGAAAGCAGAGGGTTTAGCAATGACCAGTAAAATGATTGAGCACATAATATTAAAAGAACCACAAAAACCATGTCCAGTTGATCAAAACCATCCATTTAGCGTAAATGACTGTAATTGTTTTTCGTCCTATCCAAAAACATTATCCATCAGTGTGATGGTCCATTTTCAGATAGAATTTAGTTTAGCCTGTCAGGTATTTACAAGTAATCTTATCACCAGTCCAATAAATTCCTCCAAAAAATCTGAAATTTTATGCTAATTTAATTTTATGTTTCATTCATTATAAGGGCACTACTAAGTACACACAGATTAAATATTGAAGTCCATCTCACCTGGCCAGAGTAGGGGGATCCGTCTTCATTACCCTTTCTACCAGGAGGAACAAGAGGAAGGACCTGAAAAGACAGGAATAGTAAAAACTACCCATAGTCAAAAAATAGGAATTTCTTTTTCATATCTAACAAAAGCATATATTAAAAGATAGGGAAAGGTACAAACATGATAAACAAGGGAGGAATGACAGTGAACAAGGATTGCGAAAGTGAAATCGAAACATTGAAATGGATGACGAAAGGCAGCAAATAATCTCCAAATGTATTCTTTTCTAAACCAAAACAAATAAAATTACACGAGGGCGCTTGTGTGTGTGTGTGTGTGATAGAATTTGAAGTGAAGGACGTTTGGAGAGAGAAGCAATGAACCTGCCAAACGGAGCAACCAGAGTCGTGAAGCCAATCGAGGAAGTGAAACGCCTGGTCGCCGAGGTCTCCAATGCCGTAAGGTCCTGGAAACGACGTCGGATGGAGGAAGATTCCGGCTCTTCTTCTATCTTTTAAATCGGACTTAGGAAGCCACTCGGCGTAGTCCGCCGGCAAATCCACGCCGACGGGATATGCGTTTCCGTTTTGAAATTGCATAGTGAGTGTTCTTGGTCGATTGAACTCCGGTGAAAAGCGAATTGGAGTGGTGGTGGTGAAGATAGAGAGTTTGGGAAGTGAGGGAACGGAGAGCTGAAGAGTGGGAGAACTAAGAATCATCATGGATTAGCTTTTCTCTGAGAGAGAGTGAGAGAGAGAGAGATATTACGATAGCTTAGAACAAGATGTTCATTGAATAAGAGAGAGAGAGAGAGAGAGAGAGCATGGGAGTTTCAGTGAAAGCAGAAAGCATGTGAGTGCACGTGACGAAGAGTATAGATGAGATAGTGTGTAGGGTCTCGTGCTTTGAAATATTTTTTAAAATTTTAATTTTATTAATTTAATTTGTTAATCATAAATTTTATATCAATAATTTTTCTTTAATTTATTCCACCCATCATCAGAACGACGGTCATGAGTCGTTTTCCACGTTATATACTTTTGTTTGTTCTAACGGATGAAGATTTAAGGTTTTTCGTTTTATACCATTAAAGATGAATTTTTTTTATATTATAGTTTTAATATATTAAAAATATTGTAATGTAATTTTTTTTTTATTCTGTTAAAATTTACCCAATTAACATTAATAAAAAAAATAACAAACAAAAAAATCACATTACAACACTTCTAATACATTAAAGAGGTGCAAAATATAATTCATTCATTAATACAAAATTAATAATTAAATAACTAAATTGAGATAACAAGTTGAGTAACTATTTTAAAACGGGAAGCAAAACTTTGTAAATTGACATTACTAATTATTTTGTAATTTCATGAAGAAAAATGGTTTTAGTAGAAAAGGAATAGAAAATTACTCTCACTTTTTTTGGAAAGTACTTTTTATAAATTAGAAAAAAGTTATTAGGTTTCTTTTTGTTTTCTTTTGCTTAAAGTCTAAAGTAAACAAAATACTAACTACTTTTTGATCGGATCACGAAGTATCAAAATTTTTATAAAAACCTACCTATATTACACATTTTTATTCGAGAGTTATCCAAATTTTGGTCAAGAGTTATACAAATTATTTTTTGTTCATTTAAGTATTACGTGAAAAATTTATGATAAAAAATTATTTATAATTTAGATATTATCAGCTTAAAAGATAACATAAAAACATACTCAATATTTTAAAAACTAAAATAATAAAATTAAAATATTAAAAATAAAATAAATAAATTCTATATTTTGAATACTTTTAGTACTATTAATCCTTCCTTTTATAAGAAAAACACTGTTGAAGGAGTTGAGAGGTCAAAGTCATAATCAATTTTATAGTTATACCCCTAAAGCCATACATAACTCTTCGGGAGAATTCAAGTGAGCAATGGCACACTGCATGCAAGTAAATGTGCTGCTTAAGCCACTAAAGCCTCTGTTTTAAAATAAAAATAAAAAAGTCACTAAAACCCAAGAGTCGACTGTACTCGATTGTTGATTTAACTCATCACTATTATTGAATTAATTACAAATTTTAAAATATACATAATTATGAATTATTATATTAATAAATTAAGTCTACGAGAATTTAACTATTATACGGTCATCAGTGGCTGAGAAAATTTCTATGATTGAAATTTTTTTATTTTCCATCCCCACCAAACGGATCACTCATAATTGATTGGAAGGAAGAGACAAGTTGTATGATTGAAATCTTTTTATTTTTCCATCCCCACCAAAGGGATCATTTGATTTTTTTTTGGGACTAAGCCTAGCTCGCTCTATGTCAAAGTAGAGTTTACAGTTGTGGTCTTTCTTTTTTAGAATGGAAAAATATCATGATTTGTCCTCAACATATCATGATGATGCACTTATATTATTTAGGCTCGTAATTCTGAGTAGAATCAAAGACAAACTCGAGTATATAAACTAATCCCTCAACTCATAAATTAGTTCAATCAAGACTTAGGTTTTATCAAAAACTCAAGATTCACACCAAATACTTAAATATAATTCTTTCAAACAACTAAAGTCTTTGCTTTCTTACTAAACAACCATACTTTTACGCCAACAAAATTTACACTTTTTTTTTTTTTTAACAAAACAACAAAACTTACTAAACAATTATATTTTTACGCCAACAAAACTTTTAACCCCTGACCTCCCATTAAAAAGCAAGGGGCTGTGGCCAACTGTACTACACCAATCGGTTCAGTTGTGATCTTTTAAAACTTACTTTCCATTCACCTTCCTTATAATCTAATCGATGGAGGACAGTTTTTTCATATATGATGTTTTATCGGACAACGGATACAAGACTCTTCTGGGGATGTTGTCTTCTTCCATTTATTTCTTCATTCCTAATAATTAATCTTAGTGTTTATTTTTGATACTTTCAAATTCTTTTTTTAAGTATGTATCACAATATATATATATAAATTTAACACTCACAATGATGCTCTTATTCTCAACTATTTTTAAAATCTTGTGCTCTCGCTACCGCTTTCGATCTCGCTCTATGTGATTTAAGTCAGATCAAGACGGCTGCCCTGAACCATCCCCATATGCATATAATTGGAAATATTTTTGGGAAATTTGGTTTATTGATGAAAATAAAAAGACAAGAAAATAATTATTCGGTATCAATTGGACTTAATGATAATTGCTAATTGATTGTGATCAATTTTCAGTGGGTGGCCGTCATCTTTGCACGAATGACTTTATCATGAAATATTAATCATGAATTGGGACCCCCTAGCAACATCAAGAAACTTCCTCGTCTTGGAAAAAAAAAACTCTTGACGCCAATGAATGAGCGCAGACATGATCTTGTAATAACAGTGGACTTCTTGTGTTATTTTCTCGTGGGAATTATATTTTGTACCCTTAAAAATTGTAAAAAAAATTATTTTGTCTTTAAATTTTATATATTTATTTCTTTTAAAAAAGTGTTGTAACGTAACTTTCTGTTATCTTTTGGTTGTTTATTCATTAAAAATCATTAAATTGATATTAATAGAATAACTAGCATAAATTAACGGATCGAAGATATTATAATATTGGGTTAATCTTATTTTACACCCCGAAAGATAGTTCGAATCTCAATTTACACCCTCAAAGAGCAAAAATCTCAATTTGGACCCTCAAAGATAGAAATTTGTATCAATGTGCACCCCCAAAGATCAAAAATTTAATTTACACCCTCAAAGATAGAAATTTATATCAATGTGCACCCCCAAAGATCAAAAATCTCAATTTGCACCCTCAAAGATAGAAATTTATATCAATGTGCACCCCAAAGATAAAAAATCTCAATTTGCACTCTCAAATATAGAAATTTGTATCATTATGCACCTAAAACTAAATTGATAAATTATACCTAAATCCTATCATGTTTGTCATTTAATCATTTGAACCTCTTTACATTTAGAATTTACTCCTATATCTCATGACATTTTATGCACGTACAACATGTAATCCACTTTCATTGATATCTGTTAATATAACTGTTAAAAAATATAATTTTATCCTAATAAAAAATTATAATTTCATATTACCCTTATTTTATGGGTCCAATATACTCTAAAGTTCAAAATCAAGCTTACCATTTGAATGTCTAATAAAATGTAGATATTTATATAATGTTTTTCATATTTTCCTTTTTATAAATATCTACATTCTATTAGACATTCAAATGGTAAGCTTGATTTTGAACTTTAGAGTATATTGAATCCACAAAATAAAGGGTAATATAAAATTATAATTTTTTATTAGGATAAAATCATATTTTTTAACTATTATATTAATAGATATCAACGAAAAGTGGTTATGTTTACACATGTACAAACATCATGAGATATAGGGATAATATTCTAAAGTGAAGGGTCAAATGATTAAGTGACAAATATGAGGGGATCTAGGTATAATTTATCAATTTAGTTTTAGGTGCACATTAATACAAATTTCTATTTTTGAGGGTGCAAATTGAGATTTTTGATCTTTGGGGATGTACATTGATACAAATTTCTATCTTTGAGAGTGCAAATTGAAATTTTTGATCTTTGGGGGTGTACATTGATACAATTTTTTATCTTTGAAGGTACAAATTGAGATTTTTAATTTTTGAGGGTGTAAATTAAGATTCGAAAGATCTTTCGGGGTGTAAAATAAGATTAACCCTATAATATTTTTAATACTTAATGTGAAAGAATTAATTTTTAAAAATATAAAATACAATTCGCCCTATTTTCTCAGCACCATAAATGTTGTCCTCATCCAAATCTTATGTACCGGTCCTTCATTGTCAACTCTCTCTCTCTCTCTCTCCTTGATTGATTGCAAGTCTTCTTTCACCCACCCTTCATCGGCTAGACCCATCTCTCTCTCTCTCTCTCTCTCTCTCATTATAAAGCAGACCATGTTTGATTTGGGTGATGAACTAATAATTGAAAACTACAGAATTCCATGGTTAATATGGATCCAGCTAGTAGTACTCTTCCTCCTCATAATTATCCTCTTCTATTTCAGCATCTCAACTTCAGATCTCTCAGAGAACACCACCACCGCCACCGCCACCGCCACTGCTTCGCATCAGTCAAGGGGCAGCCTGGTAATATCAACTAAATCTCACAACAACAACCCAGCACGGCTCAACACCACAAGCTCTTCACACAAATCCAAGGTATCTTATTTATGTTCTGCTTGTCTTTCTCTCTCCTTCTGTTCTTTTTGGATGACAAGGAAACTGGAAAGAAAATGATGAAATGATAATAAGGTTTTAGCTGTTTAAGACACGAGAAAATTTTTGTCGTTTGATCAGATACCTCCTTCTTGTAGAAGCGTTGAAATTGAGTTGAGTCTAGTCTTTTTTGTTTGAAACCCAAAATTCTATTGAGGTTCAATATATAATTTTGATATTTTCTGGGAAATTCACAAGCTATAAACGCATTGATTGATAGGAATTTGAGATAAATACGAGGGGAACATTGAGTTTTGCACTTAGAAAGATTTTAATATTTTCATTTTATACTTTTAAAGATTAAATTTCTTACGTTATACCCTTAATGTATCAAGACTATTGCAAGATTTTGTAATATGACGTCTCCTATTAGTTTCTGTTAGTTTTTCTTGTCGGTGTTACTAAGAAAATACTTGATAGAAAAAACATCAGAAGGAGTAAAATATGAAAATTTTAATCTTTAAAATAATAAAATTGTGAATTTTAAAAAAAAATTATGGTGCAAAACTTAGAATCTTCAATCCTTTTATGATTCATTGAACATGTTTTTATTAGGGATTATAGCGGGTTGTGTCGGGTCCAATATATGTGTTGAATGAAATGTGTCGTGTTTAAATTGATTTAATCGTCTTTTATTTTTAAGTAATTTAACTTAATTATGACTAATATTAAAAATTTCATGTCAATTTTTTATATTATAATGTGACGGGATGGTATTGTTTTCACTTAAGGTGGGCTTGCTTTGAGTAAAGATAAAGCATGGTATCCCTGACTAGGAAAGCGCGTAACTAAAGCAAATCTCCAAAGTAGTTAAACCCCAGGCATTTTCTCATTCTTTAATTTGTCTTTATTTTCACATGCCGCCCAATTTTAGGGCGAATTGCATTTTTATATTCCTAAAAATTTAAGAATTCACATTTTATATCTTTAAATATTATATTTTTCATATTATATTTTTAATGTATTAATAATGTTTTAATGTGAAGCAATGGAAGATTTACTATTGATAAGTAAATAAGTAAGAGACTTATTTATATATAATGGTCTCACCTAAATATACATTTGTCAAAAAATAAAAAAATACAAACAAAAAAATATATTAAAGGAGGTCTCATTCTCCGTTAATTACACCTAGTGTAACCTAATTCAAGTGGTAATAAAGGCGAGTTATAAATTCAGATATCTTAAATTTAAATTTTTGACAACTTTTTAGAGTCAAGTCATGAAAAATTTATTCATTATGAATAATCTAATATCGGTATTGATTGTCTGTTTTTAATTAAATCGATAAAAAAATTAATTGAAATACGTAAAAATTGATCGAGACCGAATTGAAGTGACACATTCTTTCCAAACTACTCCACCGTCCTCTTTTGCCCAAAAGGTCAATCCAAAAGATAAATGCCAACTTTAAAAAAGGTACTACTAGAACCCCCACAAAACCTACACTCCTTGTAAGATTTCATACATACACTCTTGTCCCCATATGAATAAACTATTATACACCTGCCTATTCATTAATCAAATCTGGGAAAATCACATCTGCACCACCCTTGGCTTTATGTAATTATTTAATTAAGCATCTTGATATAAAATTCTTGATGACCTGGTTGTTAGATTTATTTTAATCTTTGATTTATAATATAAGCAAAAATCACCGGCACCAAATAACGAAAAAAAAAAATGAGATTAAATTACGATCCAATCCGATTAGGTCAAAGTTACTATTCAATTATGTGTTATTATCAGCAGGGTTATGTTTTTAATTCTAAAGATATATTTTTAAGTGTTGGTAAGATAACCTTTTGATGGGAAAATCACATCTGCATCACCAACCCTCCATTTTATATAGTTGTTTAATTAGGCATCTATGTATAAAATTCTTGATGACATGGTTGTTACATTTGTTTGGTTGATACTGGCAGGTAAGAGAGAACCAAAGCAAAGGAGGAGAAACAGGAACAAGCACAAGCAGAAGAAGAGTAAAATCAGGAGAAGACAGCCAAGAAAGTGATCAAGGCACTTCAACAAAGGATGTGACCCATTTTTCCAGTTTTGAACATTCATACCACCCTTGCCACTATCTTGGGCTAGCTAAACAAGCAGTGCTCAAGTGTTTGGGCTTGGATTTCTTATTTGAGAGCTCTTCCAACAAAGAAGCCGGAAAAGAACACTAATGTATGCCTGTCTCACAAATGCACACACCATAGGACTGTAACTGAATTAAGCTGTTCATAAATAGCTTGGGATTGCCTCCTTCAAGTTTGTTAGTTTATTAAACAAATCGAGCTCGAACTCAATTGTAAAAGTTGCTTAGTAAATGGGTCGGGTCCGAGTAATGAACATATATAATATATATGTATAATATGTATCATGTATAACTGACCCGATTTTGTTTTTTGAACATGAGTCGGAACTTGCGTTCAAGCTTCCAATCTAAGCCGAGCCAGAGTTTGAGAAAAAATAAAGTTCTAGTTAGACCTAGATATTTGAAGCTCGTTTTGATCTCAATCAAACTTGAAAACTTTTCACAAATAAATAGACTAGGCCCAAATGGTCTAGTGCTTGATTTGGTTCAGTTCATTTGCAACGCTTGTGCACACATGAAGTGTTGGGGGAAACACCATAATTTTATAAATATTAATTAACAAATCAATTATAAAAATATAAAATAATAAGAATATGAATAGATATATGATATAATAACAAGCGATATTTAAAGTAAAAAATAGATAACAATAAATTAAAAAGAGCTAGTCTGTGATATTTGAGAGACGTGTTATTACTATCATAAAATAGCTATGTTTTCTCACATGGAGATACTAACGGACATATACGACTCTAAGATTCAACCTAGATATGTTCATAAAAGTACCTCATTAGGGATCACGTTCACTGAAAGGTTGGGGTGAGTGTAACTTGAATCGAAGTATAATAGAAAATGTGAAATTTGTATAGAATCAAAACTATAAAAAAAAAAAAAAAATTGGGGGGAGAGAGAAGGGGAAGGGGGACTTGAACTCTTGACCTCAACAAAGGCAAGGCCTTTACACGTCAAAAATAAACTGAAATAGTTGAAGTTGTAAAACTAGAAATGAATTGGGTGCCAGGTGAAAACTTGTAATCGAAAATCTGATTTATTACTAACAAAATAGGAGAAAAATTAGAAATTTTAAAACTTTTAATTGTATACCCCCAACATTAAGTATACATATAGACAGATTGTGTAGTAAAGGCTTAATCCATGTGCTTAAAAATTATCTATTGTTCTTTAGGAAGATGTAACGTCCAGCCAGTCCCATAAAAGATTGAATGGTGGTACGCTGCCATAGTGGATTGGCTAACCAGGGAGAAAAAGTTTCTCCCTGAAATTTGTAAATTTTATAAACTTGTAATGCATCTTTGTAATTCTATACCAAATTACGAATTTTGTTTCCCTATGTATTAGAGCAGTTCAAACAATTTGTCCTATGACAATTTAATTTTGCGTAAAATACAGCATTGGTCTCTCAGATAATTTTGATAGCCCATCACTTTCTGATTCAATCAAAAATGAAAATGTATATTTATTGAGTAATGGAGGTGGTCAAATCCGTACGTCTCAATGAATCACATTTGAGGGGAATTATTCGGAACCTTGCAAGACCAAAGTAAAAAAAATTGCAAACTTGAAGGACTAGTTGCGATTCTACCAGTGTGATCACATGGGATTCACTTATAATAATAGTACTTAAAACATAAATTATTTTTTCATTCTTTCAGTTGTGTTTCTTTATCGTGCAATAATCGAAGCAATACAAATTACTCTAAGTAGCTAGGAATCCATTGAACTTTCATTCATCTTGTAAAGAAAACATTGAGAAAGCTCTAATTAACCCATAAGTGTGTGTATGTAGCTAGCTAGCTAGCTATAATGTGTTGGTGTTTGTGTCATTTTGTTAACTAAAACTCGCATCATCGCACCATCTTTCTGTCTCGGGAATCCGTTGTTCGAGTTCTTCATATCTTCTTCTTCACCTTCTTATAACTGTATTGGCATGAACAAACAATTAAAATGAGGGCAACTTCAAGCCTTTAATGTAACACAAGTTTGGAGGATAAAATTTGCATTCCTGGCAACTTAAGCAGCATATGTATTTGAAAAAAAATGAAAATAAAACTAAATGAATGGATTCCAGATTCATATATCATAGTAAATGAATGAAGTCCATTTGAAATGAAATTTGATGTGCGAGAGGGAAAAGATAGCTGAACACAAGCATGTACCAAGTTTCAAACGGACCAAACCGGTTAACGTTATGTTGACAGTAGTAAATCTATTTTAATCCTATTATATCGCATATCTCTACCAGTCTTTACCCCCTATGGATTGAAGATTCGGATCTCTCTTTTTTGGCAGATCCTCTAACATCAACGGTGATGAGCCGTCTTATATACATTGAGTCTCGTTTGATTTCAGGATAGGTGATCAACCAAGAAGAAAATACGTAAAAAAAAATATATTATAAGTGATCGTACACCCCTGATTGGTAAGCATGTAAATATATGCATACCGCGTTCTATTTTCTTCTGCTGTAACTTTAAACTTGCTAGACTGTGAAAAGTAATCAATGGCTCTGGCTCTTCATCTTCGTCTTCATCTTCTTTTCTTCCTCTAACAATGAGATCAAAGCCGCCTGGCTTTGCTTTCTGACAATGCTTGATTACAACTACAGTTTCACTCAAACTTAATTTTATTTTGACATCGGGATTTGTTACAAACAATGACGACGACCCTCCATTGGTTCCCAAATTCAGCACTGCTTTCCTCATCGCTCTTGTTCTTCTTAATCTCCTAACAACAAAGTGCTTAATCTTTTAACCTCATTGTTTATTATATAATAACCTCTTTGAAGAGGGTGTCTATCTTGGGATAGAGGTTTAATTATCGTTTATGAGGAGGATCGGGTTACGAAATTATCTTTTCGAATGATTAAAAGACTATATACATCTAACTCTTCACAAATCCTACAATAATGAAAATCTAATACACTACACCTGTCTCTTTCCTTAAAACACATTCACAACACCAATATACTTGCACTGTGAATGGTCCAACAAAGAAGGCAAAAAAAGAACACTAATCTCTCTCTCTCTCTCTCTCTCTCACACACACACACACAAATGCATACACCCTACCCTAGGACGGAAACTTAATTAAGTTGTTGATAAATAGCTTGGGATTGCCTTGTTCAAGTTTATTCTTTAATCGAACAAATCGAGCTCGAACTCAGTTGTAAAAGTAGCTTGGTAAATGGGCGTCTAAATAATGAATTGTTGGGCTCATTAGTTTGGTGAACATATATGTAGAATATGTATCATGTGCAATTGAGCCGAGTAACATTACTCTCCAATAATAACCTATATATTTGGCAAACAAGTATAATCCACAGCCAAAGGTGAACCAAAATCCAATAATAGATTGGGAGTATCCAGTATACTCTCTTGAACAACGCATTTTTTTCGAAACAGATATAATTAATGAGTACTTGAGTTTAATTTTAGTGCAAAAAAATTAATTTTCGTATCGTATTTTTTGGTTTTTTGTTCAATAAACATGTAATGCTAACTTTTTTACATTATTTTATAGTCTGATAAACACATAACACGTATAACATTTTCTTATTTTTGTGATCAACAAGTATAAAACAATCAAGCTAGGAGAGTCTTTTACCCTTATTAAACTAACCTAAAATTTATAGCCAATTTTTTTTAACGGAGTTATAAATAAACTCAAAATCTTATATTATAACTCACAAAACTTGTAAACTCTGATAAATAATAGTTTTTCTATTTTTTGTTTCAATAATTAGAAGAGTCGGAACTAATTTATGTGTATATCGATTAATTCTCTCCCCTTAAAATTAAATTACGATTATATTATCGCTCAAACATATCTTAATCTCTGCTTATATGGCCAGCCCGAACTTCATCGTAGTAGCATCGACTACTCCAATCAACTTTTCCTTTCATAAATGCACATCAGGCTTCGCAGCAGTTTCCAAGTCAAATTCCTTGGTGGACTCGTAGGTGAACGCACACAAGAACCATAGTCATTATACACTATTCAGCGTGAGATCAATAAGTGGCAGTAGTTGAAAAGATAACTTCTCATTCATGTAGAGAGACAGAGAGAGAAGATGATGACGACAATGACGATGCTGGTGATTTGTGGGATATGCGAGGGCCTTGGACAAAAATTTATAATAAGGTTTCCATGTTAAATTCATTCGTACGTAGACTCTTAGGTAAGCACAAGACCATATTCGTCAGTATAAACGGTAAAGCACAAGCGCAACAAATGCAGTAGCTACTAATAAGAGAATATCTCAGAGAGAGAGAGAGAGAGAGAGAGAGGGGGAGACATGGGTAACACTGAAGGCACTTCAACAAAAATCTATATGGCTGATTTTGCATACAACCCTTGTTATTGCTTTGAACTTGCGACTAAGTCTCTCTTCAAGTGCTTTGGCTTTGATTCTCTGACTAAGGCTTCTGTAAATCAGAAGGGGCAAACCCTCAATGACCCCCCTTCACTTACCGAACAAGAAATGAAAGCCAGTGTAAGCTCTCTCTCTCTCTCTTCATATATATTTATGCAGGTATAGGAGTTTTTACCAATCTACAGCAATTTTTAAGTTTATTTTCTCAATATCGCACTTACTAACTTATATACAAAACTATCTATTTTTCACAAATGCGTGGTTCAAACTCACACTTTTTTTAATATAAAAAACATGTTTGTAAAAAGCATGGAAGTATATTTTGTAAACATGCTTTTACAAATTGTGGATTTGAAGTTTTGAACCACGTTTTCATAAAAATAACGGTAATTTTTAAAAAATAAATAAAAAATGTGGTATTTATATAAAAAAACATAAGTTATAAAATCATAGAACAAGGCCAATTGATTCTGCATATGTGTGAAGAAGGGTATTGTTTCCATATAGATATATACTATAGTACTGATGAAGGAAGATTTGCTTCATTGATGTGGTGTGAAACAGGAAGATCTTTCCGGGAAAAGCACTAATTCGAGTCTTACTCTTACCTCTTCACCTGTAAGGCCACCAATAGACCCAGGGGATGGTGGTCAAACCAACTGAAACAAGTTTCTATGGCTCTGCAAGCAGTCTTTCTTCTCTGATGTTCTTCAATATGCTTGCATGTAGAGAGAGAAAGAAAGAGAATATGACATCTTTTATGCTGTGATATATATATATATATATCAGAAATGTGAGGTTAATTAACTTTGTGTGTGCATGAGTCATCATAGTAGAGTTTTGCTTGAAACCCCACTAGAGGTTTGGGTTGCAACTTGCAAAGTAAAATATAAGAAGCAAAGGTGTAATAAAGTGTTATATTGCTGAGAAGAAAAGAGCGTTATGGTTTGGGGATGGAAAAGTCTACACTGTTAATTACCCTGCTGGGAAATTTTTGTTTTGATCTTCTTATTATGAATCTTGAATTTTCTCCTTAGTGTTTGAAGTTTAATTGTCTCATTGGCATTGTATAGTGTAGAGGTTAGGCTATAATTTGAGTCAACATTTGAAAGCGCTTGCAACTTCACGTTGTCGAGGCCTCATTAATAGGCTTCTCTCGTGAGTTCGGGCTATCGTTGTCATGCCAAGGGAAGGGTTTCGTCTCGGTTGCCCCCTCAACTTTTTTTGACCAAAAGAAAATGTTGAAGTTTAATAAAGGCCAAAAATTTTTAGAATTAGACTTAATTTGTTAATAATTGTCTATCATTAAATTAACAGTGAACTTCCCTATTAATTAAAACTCACTACTAATCATTAATAGTTTGGTATTAAACCCGCGAATAACTGTGGAGCGATGACCATTAAGTGAACTACTGAATCTTCACGAGACTCCACATTTATTATACTTCCTTAACTAATCAATTCCTTCCCAAACCTTAACATTGCGATACTACCGTCTTATAACGTGAGTATCAATCCTCACGCATAGCCCAGGTGAAGTAGGGTTGAACTTGGAATGAATTACAAATTCGAATGATATAATTTTGATTTTTTTTATGGTTATTCTTATATTTATTTAGATTTGTAGTTAATAAGTGGTTGTAGATACTCTGAATTTACAATCTTGGGTTCAATGTGCTCCTGTCTCAGAGAATTCCTCGCTAACAAAAAAATAAGTATCACGAGTTCAAGTCACAAAAATAAATTCTTTACAGATAGGACAAAATTGCATATATACTCTTCTCAATCTCTTAATGAAGAAAGAATAACGTTACTTGGATTAAAAAGTAGATTTAAAATGTGTATTTTATAATCATAACTATTTATTCAGTGTAAGTCCTAATATTTATTAGTACTTACTACTTATTCGATGATTATAAATTTCAAGTACACATTTTAAGTTCAAATAACATTTTCCATGAAAAAAACCTAGTGCACTGCTTGTCTCTTTTAACTTTTCTTGGTAAAGCATTGAGTCTTTGAGAAGTTATATACATCAACGAGAAAATATTCGGTGTTATATCACTTATAAAATATTACACATTCTTAATTAATTGAAGTCACTTGTAAATTTTTTAAATTTTTTTTTGAAAAAATAACTTATAATCGAACAAATAAGTGTTCTAGCAATTTCTCGTTAGTTATAGGCACTCCACGATAGCGTCACTTGGTACCTTCTAGTCACTTAATATTTTCTCTATGAGTAATGTTATTTAGACCTAATTTAGTAACCTAATTTATAGACGAAATTATTTATAACAATTGGATTGATAGTGGACTCTAATATTTATTGAGACTCACAATCAATTCAATAATTATGATAGATAACATCAGCAAATTAAGTCCAAGTGGTATTTTTTTTTTTCCCTACATTTGAAGACACATACGTTTGCAGACGCATAGCCTAGCAGCAAAGTATTCAGCATTCAGCATTAGAGCAGTAAGAAGAAACGAAGAGGAAGATAACTATTATGGAGACTTCACCAGATGTGCTGACAACGAGAGAAGCAGCCTATAAAACCTTTATTCCCTGCAATTTTCTTCAACAACTCATCAAACCCTTTCTCAAGTGCTTTGGTCTCAACTCAACCTCTCACCATCCTCCTCAAACAGAAAGAGACATGAAGGCCAACGTAATCTCCCTCCCTCCCTCTCTCTCTCTCTCTCTCACACACACACACACACTCTTGATGTGGTGAATTTGTTTTATGATACAGGAAGATGTTATATTCGTGTCCACAAGGTCAATAGGTTTCACTTCCAGAAGGCCACCGAGACCACCAATAAGCTCAGGGAGAGGTGGTCAAACCAACTCTTCTTCTTCATCCTAAACCATTTCAGAGCTCAATAATATATATGAAAGGTCCAGTGATATGACAGATCAAGACCCTTGAATCAATGATAATCAGGCGCCAGACAGGACTGATTTTAGTGATAATATCTACAGATTTCAAACTCAAGCGGCCTCCTTCAGACATTTTTAACCTAAAATACGACGCTGAGGTCACTTTTTAAGTGCTTTTTTGTTTTTATCTTCCTGTTAGTAGGAGTATTTTTTTGTAAATTTACATATTTAGCTTAGTTTTTTCTTGTAATTTCAGACTCTCTCATTTTCGCGTCTGCCTATGAACGATAATATTGTATTCTGTGTTTTTTCTTAGTTCCTTTAGATTAAAAATAAAACTTGTCATCTAGATCAAATTGTAGGATTTCAATAGTTATACCTGTTTCTGATCAAAGAGAATATAGGGGACAATCAGATGTGAAATTCCTCTCAGAATGTGACTATAATAATCTTTACCCGTTGAAAAGCCCTCCAGAAAGGCTAAACGGGGAGAATCCATAGATGTTCCCAAAAGACAACCTAAGTTATAGCTAGACTTCAGTCTCATCAAACCATTAGGAAACAACGCAATAATTTACCCCGTGAATCGAATATAGAACACAACCCTTGCAAATCTTAAGTAAAACCCTTTGCTAGGCGCCATTACCTAAGACTCCTTGGTGGTTTGAAGGAAAAGGTTAATGACGGTGACAGAGCGCTTTGGAATGCTACCAACTCCGCTTGGTGGGGCGCGGTGGTCTCTTGTAAAGATGATGGTTGTTTTGTCCTCTTTCATTTGTTTTGGTGTCTTTGTCTCTCTCTTTCCTCACCCCTTTCTGTCCTTGCCTTATCTGCATCTTTAACTAGGCCCTCTCTCTCTCACACACACCCAATATTAGCTGCATTAGGATGGCTCCGTGTCACAGTTATAGCATTCTCACTAACTCGGTAGTGAGTTTAGTGTCATATTTACGTTATATCGTGTTAAAATGTTTTATGGCAGAAGCGAGTTTGTTTTAATCTATTTATTTGATATATTTTAGAAGTTCGTGCATTTAGTATCTAAATCATAATAATTAATGTAAAAAGATGAGACACTTTTTCTTGACATACAAAAAAAATATATTTCAAGATGATATATATAACTTTCAAAAAACGAGTAACGGATAAGGGGTTCTTGAAACCAAACATGACTAGAAAAAACATGGAAATGAGAACCATATTCATATGATTTTGTTTCGAAGAGCAAACAAAAGGGGCAGCCCTCTCTCTCTATCTCGGTCTCGGTTTAGAATTATATATCGATTTGGAGAACTAATCACCACTATATGTCGAAAGACTACAAGGGTGTATATATTAGGTCATCTATCAATCCAACGGGATACTCAAATTGCTATCACGGACAACATGTACAAGAAGGTGAGGTCACCTTTCTTTCTAGCTAGCGGCCATACAGTTTGCCTTAAAGACGACGAGCAGTTATCTATATGATTACGGTCTTTGTTGGCCGTTATTCCAATTCATCACTCTCTTTTGTTAGTCAAAGAGAAAATTGAAGCTAAAATTGAATGATGAACGTCTCCTTTAGGTTCAGTTGAAGAGATAAACTCTCTTATTGTCTATCAATTTCGTATCAAGTTCACAAATTATATGTGGAATTGCAAGTTCTCATTTCCACTTCTTTTAGTTATCATGCATTTTTGGATTTTAAACGACGGCAATTATGTAACATATTAAACTTACATTTTTGCGCATATTTTTTATACCCGAATTTTGTTTCTTTGATTACCAAAAGTGAACACTCCCACTTAGGACAGCAAAGTAGAAATTTGAGCTGGCTAATGAAATAGAAAATAGTAGGCTTCGGCAACGAGGCCCATATTTTTTGGCCCATAGCCCGCCTGTGGGCCGGGCCACTAAGCTTTGACTAGTCAATTTTGAAAAAAATTAGGAATCAAACGGGCATTTTTTTAAAAAAAATAAATTAACAAAAAAATTATTCGTATATTCATCAAGAGTTACAATATTGCATTGATTGACGGGTGATGGGTAAAATTATTTTGCATCACTACAAATTGAGTATATCCCAACTAAATTGACACTTATACAATTGTCAATCATTTGCAAGTTTTAACCCTTTAAAAGTTACGTCTCAAATATTAAATTAATAAAATATTTGTTGGGCTAATGGGTCATGTTGGGATTAAATGCGCTTTAAACCCACAAACAAACACACATGATCTAAGAACAAACTAAGAACATAAAACAATGAAAAACAAGAAAGAACTAGACACATAGATTTTACGTGGTTCAGCAATTTGTCTACGTCCACCAATCTGCAGAGTTTTCACTATTGAGAGAGAGAAATACAGAAGGCGGTTGTACAATGCACATCAAGCCCTAATCACCAAAATAATATGTTTTATATGTCTTGCACACCGGATTACAAAACAAACCCAAAAAATGAAGTCTTAAAAAATTTTCCATTAAAAATCACAGAATATTATTTCGGGTTGGGTTATCATCCGGATCAACACAAACTAGATTCCACAAAAAAAATCCAACAGACCATTCAGCCATGGTTATATCACACCACATATGGTTAGGTCTAAATTCAATGATATCCCTTTTCGATTTTGAAATTTTATTGCATCCTTTGTGGTTAAGTCAGTGAAATTTTAAAATTAGGAAGGAGTGTTATTGAATTTTGACCTAATTAGAGGGGAGTTGGATGAAATTTACCCTAAATTATATAGATTGTTTACCAAATTAGTGTCTAGTGTATTTCATTAATGCATTAACCAATTTTTTTTATGTAATATTGCAGTTTTTTTACTTTGTGTCACTTTGATCCAGTAACAAATGGCATTGTATATTGAGTAACGGAGATGGTCATACACGTCTTAATTGTGATTAGCAGTTAGTTTAATGGGTACCACCCCCGTTGTTGGACTTTAATGTTACAGGTTTAAAATTTGTTGTTTCCCTCTCTTACAATGGTGTCTGACAAAAAAAAAGTACTTCTTAACTAATCACATTTGAGAGGTATTTTTTAATAACTTGAGGAACACATTAAAGACCAAATATGGAGCTGAGATTAAAAGATTTACCATCTCCAACTTTAATAACTACAAAATGGTGGATAATAAATTTATGGGAGACCAAATTCATGAATATCAAAAGTTCTCTAGGAAAGTAGAAAAAAATGGGGCTACTTTTAACAAAAATTTCAAAGTTTTGAACTTAATTGTTAAGCTGCCACCTTCAAGGGATAACTTTGTTAGGACCCCTAGGCATAAACAATTGGGAGTTCATCTTAACCCAAACCATAAACTCTTAGGGTGAAAGATAAACATTGGACGAGTACAAACTCATAAGGAGAGACCTCTAAGATAAACCTAGTGGAAAACAATCATAATAATTATAGGAATAACAATAATTATAAATACAATTTTCAACCTATGGGTAGAAATTTCAAAAATTTACTACTAAATATGTCTTCTTGTTAGGTGGGACAGTCATATCTTGAGAATCTAAAAAATAAACTATAATTTCTTAAAGTACAATGAAGGCAGAACTTATAACCTTAGATTTCATCTATATTGATGCCAAGTGGATTAAAAGTTTATTACTAGATATACTTTTATTATTTTTATGACCCAATATATATATACTACTTATAAATGTCAGTATCTATAAAAAAAAATTAATTTTCTATTTTACCCCTAATTACTATGATAAAGTCAATTATACTCACTTATTTATTTTCATCTAATTTTTATTTTTTACTCATATTTAACTTTCAATTTATTTTGGATTTTTTTGTAAGAAATTCTAAATTCTTTTGAACTCATTTATTAGTAATACAGTTACATGCATTTTTTAGATTTATATCAAAAAGTAAAGTCCTATATATGTTAAATTATTATACACATAAAGTTACCAGATTGAATTTTACAGTCAAATATATGTTATATTTTATTTTTGGGTATGTAATAATATAATAATATTATAGGTGATCTAATCGATCTATTTAATAAATAAAAATTAATAATTTTATAATATAATTAGATATGTGTATGCCGAAAAGGATTAGATAAATACCCTAATAATTAAAATATAGATTAATTATTCGTTACTTAATTTATTATTTAATTTAATTACATATATAATTCAAGTTTTTAAAAAAAAAATATTTAAATTTATTTATGTGTAACACACGTCATGCATTGCTCGTATATATAAATCTACCTTTATTGAATAGGTTCATAACTACTATATCTTGAGCTTGTAAAGTAAACTCATACAAATAAAAGGTTAACATATTTTTAATTTCTGCTTTCACACTTCAAATTTCTGTTTTCTTAAGGGGAGAAGTAGTTAGGGACATGTCGGGAAATAGGTGGAGAAAGTTGCTATAAAGTGTCATTTGATAGAAAAGAAGAAAAATAGGAAGGATGAAAAGTATGAGAGATGCACTTTCTATTCTTCAAGGATGAAAAGTAAAAATGATACATTTTTTTTTCTTTGTGTTTGGTTGGATGGATGAAAAATAAAAATGACTAATTTTTTTTTGTCTAATATTAGGGGTGACAATCGAGTCATGTCGTATCAGATTCGTGTTGAGTCATAAAATAATGAGTCTTTTATATTTCTTATTTGCGTGTCAAGTTATTTTCAAGTTCGTGTCATAAAATTCATGTCGAGTTCGAGTCATGTCATTATATTGAGTCAAAAATTTTCACCTCTAGTTAAAATGAAAAAAATATTTTTTTAATTTAAAATTTTTATTTTATTTAATTTTTAAAATTTTTAATTTTTTTAAATATATATATATATATATATATATATATATATATATATATATATATTTTATATATGAAATTAATGTATACATAATAGATATACAAATAATAAATTTTTCATCCACTTCCCTTCCGATTTTGGAATAATTGATTTTGGTAAATTAGAAGAATAGTTAGTTAATTTATTCTTCCGATTTTTTTAAATATGATATTTTATTAATGCTTCCAACTTTTCATCCTTTCAATTTTTTATCTTTCTATTTTTTCATTGTATCAAACGGAGCATTAAGGTTCAAAGAAGCCGAGTACTATATTTCAAAACTTAGACAGTTGTCCCTTTGTTTAAGTTCTTCCTTTAACTCTTTTTGATGTTCCTCTCTCCTAGTAGATTGATTGTGATGTTGATACATTTATGTTTGCAGTGTACAAAGATAATCGGGTCGATAATCGTTATATATTAGGAAAAAAAAAACCTCAATAATTCATGAAGACAACTCACGTGAAAGGAGAGTTCACGTAATCAGGATCCTAAATTTAGTCGCAGTAATCATTTGTTTTTATTTTTTTTTTTAATTGTTTTTGCTGCTCGTAAGCATTCCTCTTCAAAGTGATCGAGTCCACAATAAAAAAACGAAACCCAACTCAACTTAATCTGGCGTTATCTCAACTATTTGGTGTCGACTAAATGAATCTTATTCTTTCATCGTACTTTGTCAAAAGACCAATGCAATATGGTAAATTTGAATCCAAGTACGGTAAATAACCGTTGGTATCAGCTGATATTGTAAAACTGCATATGCTGCAAAACAAAAACCCCTTGTGTGGTACTGTACTACTAAACCTACCATATTTGGTCCGAACATGTTGAGTTAGGGATATAGGTTTGAGCAAATAATCCAAACATGGTGGATTACTATGAAAAATGTTGTGGTTACTAAAAAATTTTACCAAATTTTTCATATCAAATGATATGGCACAATTTCCGTCATTGAATATTAATGAGATTCACTTTTTTAATGATAAAAAATAATGTCACATCATTTGAAATAGAGATTTAATTAAAAAAATTGGTAAGCATAACATTACCCGAATACTATATAATAATATGCAATGAAAACTTGTAAAGAGAATGGATAAGAATTGGTACTGTGATTGTTGGGGTTCATTTGTCATGTCCAATACGGTTACAGCCGAACGATTCCATTATTTCCTAGTCGTAGTCTGGACAGCCTAAATTAGGGCAAGAAGTAACTTAGCTTGTTAATTGACCAAAATCTAATATGACCATTTCATCTTACAATAAGAAATTGTCCTAACTACACATCTTTTGAATGCAAGTTTCAAATGCAAGCGATCATTCGTACTAATTAAACTCGAATTTTAATATGTGATTAAAAAAACTTATATCATTACGTATGTATTTATATTTCACCGTTTATTCGATGATTGAATCAAATCGTGTGAATTTCATGAACTAGGAGATGGAAATGCCATCAAGGCTATGACTGTTGGACAATTGGGTTCGATCAGATTGAAAATAAAATAGAACTAAAGCTTTAAAACATGTAAAATAATTTTCTTTAAAGTGACACTGCCCATACTCGAAATCATGTCTATTAATAAATAATCAGGCATTGTATGAATAGGAGTATGCAAGTGCAAAATAAAAATATACACCCACCACACAATCTTGATCACACTCTAACGCTCCATGTGCAAGTGTCAAGTGCACTCGAAAAACGCCTTACACCCTCAGCTTTTGGGTTTGGCCCGCCACTATTGCCTCTTAAATCGATGTAAGTTCTTTTGAAGCCTAATTGTATATAAAACCTCTGAAAGTTTTATAACTTTACAATGTCGAATTGCCTTTACACTTTAAAACACAAACCCACTTCCCATTGTAATATAACAAACTAACTCTCAAGGTCCCAACAACGACAACTCTTCTTCATCATGGGGTTGAGTGCTAGAAATTGAACTAAAATTCCTGATATCATTTGTTGAATTTCTATACATCTACGAGTATATCAATAAAAGATAGTCCAATACATAAGAATCCTATCATAGTCTAAACATAGTTAGATGTAAACTGTCTTACTCTTACAAAAAGGCTATTTCCGTGACTTTACCAAAAATCTCCAAGTTATAATAGAATAATGTTGTGGTTACGCAAGTGAAAACTACATTTCTCACTGCAATTGATAGATAAGCCGACACTAATATCAAGTTTAGTTTGTATATACACCCATCACTGTATTATCCATAAATTCAAATAAATCACTCTTTTATTATATATATAGTAATCAAATATGCTATCACTATAATAAGCAAAAATTATTGTCTTCATAAAAATGCACCTCTCACACACGCATAAAATATTCACACCTCACAAATATTCATTCCATCATCATTAAACTCTCAAAGATGACACTCACAAATGCAAGAACAAATTACCCACATTAGCCATTCCACGCGAAACCCATAATGATTTTGTTCCGCATGAAGATACTAAAATGAACAAACTACTTCGTTATTCATAGTGTTCATAGAATCAAACTTCCGGTTATACAAAATTAATGTAACAGAACAACCAACAGCATGTGAAGCCTGATAAATCCTCTCAAAATTGGAAGCCTCAACATTGATTCCCGTGACTTCATCAAATTGTATATTAAAATATATCAAAATTACTATTTTCTACTTTCTCATTTCTCCCGTTCTATAGGTTTTAGAACTGTAACATTGTGTTTTGGAAGGCAAAGGCACCAGAGACCTACTTACCAAATTCTCTCGGATGAACCACATCACTGAAATACATTCCTTCCGCAGCGCAATTGAGCAGCTGAGCATCTCCTTAAGCATGGGATGCGCCGTCTCCATGCAACATTGACCATTGGCATGGGAGTCACAGAACTTTGTGAGCCTTCCCATAATACCTGTTAATAAATGGAGACTGCAAGACAAAATGCAATACAGCAAAAGGCGACCATGGTTGAAACAGGTTTCTTGCAAAAACTGAATATACAGATATTTGGCAACTGTTCTTCATAAAATGTACACTTTTAGCAAACAATGTTGTTGCCTAATAGACGTTTTAATTTTACTGAATCCAATTCATCAGAAAATTTAAGCCAACGACAAAAAAACACAAGGATAACTCTGAAGTTCTCTATAAGATAGGCAATCAACAATTCAAAGGTCCAATAATAAGTGTTAACTAGACATTATGATAACTGGCTCTCCACGTGCATTGGTGGCCATTGAATTGAACCCTAACCCCAAGATCAGGGTGCAAGGGCCAGTATAGAGAAGCAGGAATTAGTTGTTATGGTAGAATAAATTTGACTACATTTGCCAGATCATGTCATTTAAAATGATGGAAGACAGACAACGCACCTTGCCCATACAGCTAAGCACATATTAAGTCCGTGACTTTCCACAATAGCATAGGGATGTACAACTTGCAACTAGCATTTACCTTCAACTTGCAACTTTGTTAAAGATTGTGCACCTCATTTAGGGGTAACTATAAGAGAAGGATACCTCTACAACTCCAACATATGCCGGCTAGAATTGGGTCACACCCTTTGCTCATTTTCGGTACCCCATTCTAATATTCCTGATTGCTGGATTATGTTGTCCACTTCCTTTTAAGAGTTGTACTAACCTTAAGTACAAGTTTAGTTCAGATATGTTATTAGATGATATTGACAAATCGATTCCAGTTCAATTCATGTTGGTAGTAATAATTAATCAATTATTATATCATGTTTCAATCAAGGTTTAGATAAGATGTAGGTCCATTGTTCTAATACCAATCTCATTGAAAAAATTATGTGTGGCACCAAGTTAAAAAGGACAAACAACCTACATCAATGCATAACTCTCTAGCCTATAGAGGTATTCTTGTTATTTTGGATACTAATACCACTCATCTCATTCAATATCACCTATTATGGTATTGGAGTTACTGAGTATGGGGCGCTAGATGCCACTTTAGCATCCGGGCCGGTAATAATAAAGTCATAACTTGATCCAAACTTGGTATCAAGTGACCATTGGACCAATTTAGTCCAATCCCACCCCTTTAATACCCCAACCAAACATGCCCTAAATGTTTCTAAGCATGTTTTGATTATGAAAGCTTTCGAACATGGTCAAGTAGCAACATAGACTGAACTCCAAAAATATTAACCAACAGCACTACAGCCTTTTTCTTTGATATAACAGGATATAAGATTAGATAGCTCACACATCTGCAGATTGAAAAGGTTAAAGGTAGTAATCTACCTCAATGCTGATACAGGGACAAAATGGACACATCGTTTTTAAGTGATAAGTTGTTGAAATTCTATATAACTGGCTGGAACCTCTACACCAAACTAGGTGAGAATTCGGGCACTAAAGAAGAGGGATAAGAATTCTCAAAGTTTTAGGCCAGGGCTAATCATTGCTAAAAAATAACTAATAAAAGTATCACATGAAATGTGCCTAATGAGAAAAAAGTCGGACAGCCTGTTCAGGATAAATATCAGGGTTGCTAGTCTAAAACTTGGTATTATATTAACATCTATCTTAGGAATGACTAACCAAAACGACTTTTATATTGCTCCTGTAGGACAGTTTCATGGAAAGACATATGAGAATGGAAAATAAAATTTTACCTTGACACTAGAGACATCAGGTGTGTCAGGTGTAGGCACAGGATAGTACTTGTAAAACCTCATATTCTCAAACGCAGCCTTTGTCTCCTCACTCATTTCTTCTAATGCTTTTCTACGGGCCTCCCTTGCCTATAAGAAATTGAAGTGCGTTAGTGCCCAATATGCATAATCTGAATGGCCAGCAGTAGCATTCACCACTGAATAAGTCTCTCACATAGTACCTCACGATTAGCTTTTTTTGCTTCTCTAACCTTCTCCTTCACAAATTCCTGAAAAAAAGAAAAATTAATCAAAAAAAAAAAAAATTCAAAATCATAGTGGAAAACATGAAAGAGAGGTTAGTTGCAAGCTGCACCAACGGAGCAAAGTTTACCTTGAAGGCATCCTTCTGATCTTCAGACAACTCCTCCTCCTCAATGAGTTTAGTTGTGAACTCCTAGAGAGTTGTAATTTCATTTAGTATGAGAAGGCTTTTTTTAATGCATTATTTAGAACTTAATGCACAGGCTAACACATCATCAAATATTTAGGCTATGTAAGTCGGTCATAAGACATTGCAAAACAACCTTAAACAGCCATTCTGTCTGAAATACAAGAGATCACCCAGATATTAGACAGTGAACAGAATTTCCCGAGCTAATCAATCAATAGTGCCATTTGATTAAATCGCCAATAGAGAAACCCTCAAACCAGCACTTGTGTATTACAAAGGGTTTGAAGTATTTTCTCACAATTCATATGTATCCGTACATATATGTGTATGTATATCTCTAAAAAGGTTGAACAAGTAGCAACCCTTGCCATTCAATTTTGTTGATTGAGCGGCCAAGGTATGCTGAAATGCAAAACTAAAGGTTATGGCAAACCTCAAGATCGTCATCAAGCTCCCAATCAAACTCACAGAAAACCTGAAGAAACACAAGCAAAAATAAAGTCAGCTTATACACATTGCTTTAGCAGAGTGCTGCCTCCATGAATCATCTTAAGGGAGTTCCAAAAGTATTTGATGCTTCCATCTCAATTAACATTGTCACTGTCCTAACTTTTAGGAGTTCGCTATTGGAATATTATCCAACTATTTTACTTGGTGTACCATGTAGAATAGGCTCTCAGATTTGCTTACCGGCTTGGGTTCTGCCGGAAATATGATTTGCACAACAGTGCTCTGTTCAAATTCATCTTCCTGAAGGGGCTGGTAGAAATCTGCCGAAGGAAAAAGAAAAACATTGCTATAGAATATTCTGCTCAGACAAGCAAAAGTAACATAGAGAGAGTCAACCAACACTAACCACAAGGGCACACATCCTTTAACAGCCCCAGTACCCATTGGCCATTATTACAACAAAAGTTAAAGGGATACTAAATTTAGAAAGCAAATACGGTGAATCAAAATTGCTTCAGAAGAATATAATGCTGGAGAAGAAAGCCCATAAAAGAAGAAGTAATCAATAACATTTATTGATTTATATTTGAATAGCCTGCTATAGAAACTTCATTACTCTTATCTGCTAACTTGAATTTCAATGGGGGATTTAAAGATGTATTAGATGCAATTCCACAGTGAATTTAGACCTTTTTGTTGTTTTACAAATATCACTGGTACAATTTCTGACTGGAATCGGGAACCAAGCTTGCATGCATCATCTTTGCTTAAAGGAAAATTTGTTAGCAAAATTATACTTTCTTGATTCCAGCAACTTTAAGCCTGATATGAAATTTGTTTATGACATAAACTATTTATACACAAGGGATTCGCCGGTAATCCATTGATAAAATAAACATACAACCTGCAGGAATCAGGAACAATTTGCGTGATTTTTCAGGCTCACAAGTGGAGCCTAACAAACACTTTACGCTATTCAACCACCCAACAGGAATCAAAGACCATCCATATGACCTTTAAATTTCTTTGAGTGGCAAATGAAGGGGTGGCCACAAAACTAGAGATTACATTATTCAAGCAAAATCTCAGCATACTAATATCTCAATAACAATACTAATGTATAAACTGTTTCTTGATACAATACATACTACACTGAGTCCCTAGACAACTTCAGTGTTTTTTTCCCGATGAAAGATGAGAAGCCACTAACAGTAATAATTCAGTATTCAGTCAATGACAATTAAGCAAGAGTCAAAAATAATTTTTCAACGTGAGATTGATAGTACTTAACAAATCACACTTTCCTACCATGACTTGAAATTTAAATAATTGTATATTAGGGTTTAGGAAAAGAAAGAAAGATTATGAAAAAATATTGTGTGTAGGGTGTATCTTGCCAACACCCTATCACCTATTTATATTAGATTGATATTGAAGACCATTAAAATATTTGAAAAGTAAATCACAATAGGAAAGTGAAACATTAAGAAAGGAACATAATGAGAAAATAGAACAATAAGAAAGTAACACTCTTAACATCATGCTTAATAGGACAAAGGGGAGTCCAATCATTCATCTTGTTTTTTTCTGTAATAATAATTGCTTGATGTTTGTTATGGAAAAAAGAAAAAAAAACAAACACAATTGAAGCAGTCTCACATCCACACATTACTCCTAAAGGTGTAGCATCAACAAAAATATCTCAATTTTTAGAAACAACAAAAGATGTGTTCAGGATCCCTAGATCAAATTATCAACTTCAAAAAAGAATAGGATAAACTAAAATAGTAATGTTTCAAGAAGTTCATAAGCCCAAAAATATAAAATTGTGCTGCACTCAGAAATGTTGTTTTGAACTTTCCAGTTGCTCAACAAAAGTAGCAGAAAAAGAGAAGAAAAGCAACAGAGAAGCAGAGAAAAATACAGATGATCATTAACCTCTAAACAAAATTGAATTTCTATAACCCCAACAACCTTTGAGCCAATAATTTTGCTTTTTTATCTATATGAAAACATGTAAATCTGTCTCAGAATTCTGGTGTGGAAGCCGGAACCAGAAAGGCACCATGAAGGATGGAGAACCCTTTAAACTACAAAAGTAAAAAAATGCACTCTCAGGCAACATACTAACGTATGACCTAACATGAACCATGCCCCAAACCTAAATACCCTGTAATGCGAACAACCTTCCTTACAAATAAAGGCCATGCAATTACATGAAAAATTTACATGGACAGAATTCACTGATATGCTAAATAGTTTGAAACCTTGCGTGAGTCTTAACAATTAAGAACCATAGTATGAAACAACTTTCCATAGGCATTTATTTTTCATGAAAAAACAAAAAACTAAGGGAAAAAAAAAGTGTACCCTGAGGGCTCCCAAAGAAACAGAGTACTCAACTTCATACTTATAATTTTCATTTCTTAAAAAGCTACTTATGTTTATAGTCCTTAACATTGGAAAAAAAAAACTAGAGTGCAGCAGAAATCACAACCAGAAGAAATACAAAAAAAATTAACTCACAGGGTAAGCAGTACTCAAATTTCTTCACACGCTCTAACTTCAATTGTTTTAGACCAGCCCTGAATAAAACAAGATCAAAGACATGAACAACCAAACAATTTCCACTACCCCTCTCCACTCACACATGCTTACAAGCATCCACATTTTCAATAGTAACCCAATTCGAATATCACAACTTACCCATAGAAAAAAGGGAAAGGGTAAAAATTAACTTCTAAATAGGGGCACCAAAGGGAGCCAAATACTCATAAATACCAACAAAATATGAAACAATGCAATTAATTGCCTGGGAAGGAAAGTCTGATATTACTTGTAAAATCAATATTCAAAATTAAAACTGATGCATGTGGAAACCAAACCAAAGAGATTAAATAATCAAGAGGCTTAAGCTTGTCTTGTGAATGGCATCCCCCAAGGATTCCCTTGCACATGAGCTTCCCTTTTATTTTCTAATTCCAAGTCTCAACATTAAACATATAAATGTTCATCTTTTTCTCCTCCAAATTAGTGCATATAAACCAATTGATTATATCAATATTTCTCATCATGAAAAGTTTCGTAGCACGAGCGCAAGACAGAAATTTCCACAGTTGCTATTCCTTTTTAAAACATAAAGACAATGTGCACCATGCTGTTAGGCAAACACTTTATGGACTTCCGACCAGTGCTAAACAAAACTCATAAAGAAGCGCATATATATAAATCAATTTTACCCAAAAGTGCAGGTTGGGCAAACACTTTGATTATCCTAGTTTGACCAATAATGAATATGTAATAGGAAAGGATTTCTGCAGACTTTTTCCTATGATATTGCCATTCGTATTAATTTAGCAAAAAAAGGGAAGCAACTGTATCATTCAAGGCTTGCAGGTTCAATTTGCTACACACATGGAAGGGCAGTTATTAATTGCTGATGAATCGGCTTAAGGGCCTATAATGTGAACTTGTATAATGTATCCTTTGAGGATTACCAACCTTTTATCCAAAGGTATAAAAGTTCTGCAAAGAACTAGCTAAAGATAAAGGAACCCCAAGTGAGTATCCACGTGCCATGAATGTGAGACCCCTTGTCTCAAAGATCCTTAAACTCCTAAAGGCACTAGTAAAGAATGCCAGCTTGGTTTCTAAACATGCTCTTGCAGTCTAGCTCTTTCTTAATGTCATTTTAACACATTACAATACACCCAAAAAAAAAAAAAGAACAGTGGACCACAAAGTATCTAGTGATTCTAGTCACCCAGGCAAACGCCACAATCAAATAGAGCTGCAGCAATATATGGTCTACCATCCCCACCTACTTTTCCATCTCATGGCTAGAATGACCTGTATACTATTAACCAAGTGGCAAATGATTAAATTGTATATCAAGAAAGACATTAAATTTTGGAGGGAGCTATTAATCTCAAAGCCTCTCTACTCTACTTGGAAATAAAAAGTATATCGTCCAAGAAAAACAGGAATTTGGTTATTTGATAAAACAATTATCTGCACAGAACTGAAGACAGTTAGTTGAATTAACTAGTGTACAACACAATTAAGGAAATCAAGGGCTTTTAGAACCAACTTGCATCAGGCAAGTAATAGTACATTCACAATAAAACTACAATAGGTACACCTTCGTATTTGAAGCATGCTTACAAGATTGCCAGTTTGATATAAGGTTAACTCGATGACCAATGAAGTCCACAATCCACAGTACAAAAACAGTGCGCTAGCTTTCTAATAGAGTGCAACCTAATCAAAATCTAAGGCCAACAAAGAAAACAAAATAAAAATAAGTTATTGTTCAACGCTATATCCAATAGGGAAAGTTTGCTTCAGCAGAATGGCCCACATCATAACAACCAAACCTTATTATAGAAACATTAAATGGAACTTACATGGAGAAGCATTGAGATTATTATCAACAAAAAAGCTACCCAAAACAAAACAATACTTTCAACTGTTATATTACAAACAGTTGACATATTCAAATGCCATCAACAGTAACCTATCCAAAATGCCAAAATACACAAGCCAAGCAAGTCCATCCTAGTTGAGAGGTAATTCTTTTTGCTCCAAAGGCATTTGAATAATATATATATATATATATATACGCACACAAGCACACACACACATAGAGAGAGAGAGAGACAGAGCAGGGGTTGGGGGTGTTGTGAGGATATAAGAGGAGAGAATGGACTAATACCTTCTTTGTGTGCAGCTCAAAATAAAAATTTGTGACTTAAGTCTTTCAACTTGAGAGTCCCTGCAGAACAATGAAATTACACGAGCACCATCTATATGAAAAAAGATTTCAAAGCTTCATACAATGAGGAACATTCCATATTCAGAAGACAAAAAAAGCAAAGAAAATTAGGCAACGAAAGGGAGATTCATACCGGTCTTCCAAAGGAATGTAAGGAACCCAGTCCATTTTCATCTGCTTCATGGGAAGAATTTCTTCAGACTCCCTTTGTACTGATTTGATCCCAATCTTCTCAGAAGGTGGAAAAGGAGATACCACCTGCTCAACCAAAAAGAAATAATCAAATAGAAAAATCAAAGATGCATACAAAAAGTACATGTGTAAATTAATGCATTTACATATAAGTATATAACCAATATACATACACCATCATCAAAGACCTTTTCGCAGCATCCATATTTAGGGCTGTTAATCAAACCGAGCTACTTGACTTTGGCTTGAGTTCAACTCATGTTCGGCTCATTCAAGCTCGGTTTATTTTCTAAACAAGACCAAACTTAAACAAGTTTTTAGGCTCGTTTAAAAAACAAGCCCTACAAACTCGGCTTAAACTCGACAGATTCGACTCGTTTATTTGCAAATACTCGAGCTCGGCTTGTTTTTGGCTCATTCAGGCTCCGCTCGGCTTGTTTTTGGCTCATTCTCGGCTTGTTTTTGGCTCATTCAGGCTCGGCTCGTTTCCTAAACAAACCGAACTTGAACAATTTTTTAAACTTGATTAAGAAACAAGTTTTTCAAGCTCAGCTCAGGCTCGTTCGACTAACAGCCCTATCCATATTGCCATAGTCCAACCAGAATGAATACGTATAACTCCCACGTGCTCTTCCAAAATAAGAGCACAAGATCCTTTAGAATAAGAAACTCATTTAATTTGTTTTCTTTCAATCCCATCAAACCCACCTAAGAGCTATGTCGGCATTAGCATATGAGTAAAAATTTCCGTTATGTCTACAATTACTTAAGTTCACAAACTTCTTATAGAACATAATATTTCAAGAGCATAATTAAAATCTACTAGAAGTGATTTGTTAGCATAAATAAATTCCCAGGATATAGAGCCAACTTCTTGAAACTACTAATTTAGCAACTTGGGAACAGAAAAGTTGAATCAAGTCAAAGAAGCAACAAAAATCTGAGTTCCGTAAAGAAAATATAAACTGAGAAAGACTGTATTTGAGAAACTGGTACAATTATATGAATACATAGACTTATATAAGGGTGAACAAAAGAAGGGCAGGTAGCCTCAATTCCATAAAAATAAACATGTACACTACTTCATACCAAGCTCCTATAAAGATCTTGCAAACCTACAGCACATTAAAGAAATTCTCGTGCAATTCAAAACTAATCTAGATTGCATAAATTACATTTCTTTCCCCAACACAATTCACAAAATCAAATAGTATAGCGACTTACAGCAACCACAATAGGTATGAATGTTATTATTCTCTCATCATGGAAAGGAACAAATTGCGCTGCAAGAACAACAAAGAGTTGTAAAAACGGATAAGAACAGGAAATGAAAAAGAGCATAGGATGCCATAACCAATAGCCCTTTACAAAATAAAAGCTAAAAAAGACTTGAAGAAATTATGAATAATATTCCAAAGATCAAAGAATCTTAGCTAATAGAAATGCAATACCGAAAAAGCTTCATATAAAAACAAGTAGGTTCTCCGGGCAAAACCACCTCCAATTACATGATAACATCATTCTCTTAGCAAACCAAAGAGAGTATACCAACTATTTGCATGCAGCTAGAGAGGCATACAGAGTCTTTGAAATGACAAAAAAGCAAAAAGTCCAAATTCAATTTGCCACTTACGCTCAGTCGTACTGAAAAGGTAGACTTTTTTCCCAAATAATTCTCCACCTTCATCAAAAGCTTTCTGCCACAGTTCAACAAGCAGTTTTAGCATCAAATACTATAACTAATTAGCTATATCATTTTTTTTTATTCTCATTCTTCATTTTACTCGTGTCTGAACTTCTACTTCAATGTAAGGCAAAAGGGAGTAAAAAGAACAGATATCAAGCCATTGATCAACATTAAGGCAATGTACACCAAGCAAACTCACTTCTAAATTTGAAAAATTCCACTTGTATCGATAAACATGGTCCAGTTGTTCCCACTGGCATGAAAAATATCAGAAATGTGAGCAACAAAATTATACCTGCAACAATTGTAGCATTTGAAAATAAGAAAGCAGTATCAAAACCTAACCTCTGTCCCAACTGGGAAAACTTGTTGCCACAGGTCTTCCTGCAAAACAATTTTGTCAGCCAAACATTATGAACTGATTGTGAAAGATTGTGTAAAGAGAAGATATTGGTCTCATTACTATGTAATGTATAGCAATCCACTAAATCCTTGGGATAAAGAATCCAACCTTTCAGAGCAAAATTTCACATTGCACAATTGCATCCCACCATAAACAAAAGTGAACTCAAGTGATTAATAAGCAATAGCTGTTGATAAAGCCTACTGACATGGCACTCCCTGATGACGCAGACTACCATAGAATCACTCTGTCAGCAAGGGCATGAGGCAACCCAGCACCAAAACACCATAGGCAACAGCAAAGTTGCCGTATAGGCCCTATGCACCAGGGACGGCCTTGTATCCCAACTTACAGTATTGGTTCCAGATCAAACCCATGGACTTCTACATCATGTGCGTATCAAAGACAAATTCAGGTATCTCCAAATGCCTCGGGATCCAAATGAGTCCAAACATCTCCAATAATGATCTCCAAGGAGGCCATATGGATTCCCTCTTTTTTGAAGGTGGCTCCAAAAGCCCCTTTTGCCTTGAGACGGGGAGTAGGGCATCGATGTTCAGATAGTCTTGAGGGTACTGGTCTGGCAGAATGGGCAAGGGTGGGCAACAACTATGCCTTGGCGAGGTCTTCAAGGGAGAACTACAGCATGCTTGCCCCACATCCTTCGCACTCCAGAGCATCATTACATTGTACAGGGTGTATAAAATTCTAAATTCGCCAGACTCATATCCATGGCCATGGGTAGTTAATTCTGGGCAATCCTAGTCGGAGACCCACGAGGTGGCCAACCCCATTAGGGCATTGCACTTTTGGTCCGGCTGGACTCCAACCTAATCTACATTACTATACCCATATAAAGGCATTGATGCTACAACAAAGAGTTCTCTTTCTGGAACGCACCCAAAATGCCATCTGCTGTTGGCATCCCTCACTTCCTCCTTAGACACCTTGACATTCCCTCTCACCTACTCTCCTGCTCTCTGACCTCCATGTGGCATCTCACTCGTGACACCTCTCTTCATCGGACGGTAACCCTCTATTAACAGTCATGTATACGCCATAGTGGGAAGCTATTGAGGAAGGCTCTCGATTGAAAAACCAATAGCTACACTCATATTGACATAATTATAGCTATTCAGATTACTATAAAGATGGGTTCAGTAGTCATGGAATTCAAGAATTGGAGGAAAAAAGTTAGTTCAATTTCTCAACTTGTTTTCCCCCAAAGCGACTATGTTTCAAGCATTGCGTAAGTAACTTTCTCAAATTTTAGAAACTACGGAAGCGCAAGAGAAAAGCACCAAATTACTTTTTTCCCCCGTATAATTCCTACAAACAATATACTACAAAACCTTAAATCAGACTTTCCACCATTTCGAATATAAAGCCCCAATTACACGTTTTCTAACGCATTACAGCTCATAAATTTTGTTCGAGTTACAGATATATCAAACTGAAAACTTAAAAACCGATAAAAATTACCAAATTGCGCTTCTCTGGGAAAAATTCAGGCTCGGACTGAGGCTTCGGAGGTCTCTCTCGCTTAGCTCTTCTAACAGCTTTTCTTGGCTTAGCTTTGGTGTCCTCCGTAGATTTGCTCGTTTCTTTGTTACTCTCCTCGGTCAATTTGGTCTCCTCTTTGGTAGTATCCTCCGCAGACTTGTTCTCTTCTGTTGATTTGGGAGCTTCGTCTTTGTGGCTCGACTTCCTCTTAGTACCTTTCGCCATTGTGTATATATATAAATGTATAACTCTCTATAGGGAAATAGATAAAAAACGATACAGATATTTATATATGCAAATATATATAGGTCGAGAGAGAGTTAGGGTTTGGTATGATCGAGAGCAAATATAGGGTTTGGGGCAGCGTGAAGTTACACGCGCGGGAATTGAGCTCGAGCGGTGCGAAATTGAGGTCTGTGTGTGAGAGAGAGGAGAGAGATGGAGGGTGTGGACCGTGGAGACTGGAGATGCAGGGTTGTAGAGAGAGAAAGATTGGAGCTTTAGAGAGAGAGAGAAGGGAGGCGCGGTAGTATTGGATGTGGTAGGAAAACGAAATATTTGAAATTCGATTTGGTGAGGGTGCAAAAGTTGCGTAGTGCGTACGGACAAATCTCTGGAGGGGCAGTTGTAGTGTGCGGATGCTCTATTGATTACATCTACAACCGCTCGGTTGGTCCAATAATAAACTGCCACGAACATTGTAAATTTTTTGTTCTACATAGAACGAATTTTTTCTCTGGGCGAATTGCCCTCAAAAATTTTAAACTTTTATTTTACATTTTAAAGATTAAATTTCTTAAATTGCACAATTAATGTATTAAAAGTGTTGTAATATGAGTTTTCTGTTAATTTTTTTGTCAACAATGAGTTACTTTTGATAAAAAAAAATAACGAAACCTACTAGAAATGTCACATTATAATACTTTTAGGGTGTGTTTAGTTTAAGCATTAGAAAGTATCGAATTGGACAAACTCGTTCATCTCATACTCATCCATCAGCAGCTTGAACTCATAGTTTTAAAACTCGTCCTGACATCAATCCGGGAGAGGGACCGAATCACTAGTTCAATTTCGTTGGGCCACTGGTCAGCCAAGTAATATAATAAAAAATAATAATAATAAATGGCTAAAAATACAATAAATATGAAAATAGTATCCTTACAGTATATTAAATCAAACAAAAGCCCCAAAATCATCATATTAAACCTAGTCATTGCAATAAAATCTATAACAAATCAAACTTAACTAAAATTTTCACCAAATCAAACTTAACTAAAATTTTCACCAAATCAAACTTAAATACAAACAATCTTAGTTCTAGTGTATCAACAAAGCCATACAATTGGTGTACAATTAGGTATGGTCGTGAACCAATTACCTAGATAATGCCTTGATCTATGCACACAGAGAGGACGCACCTATTGGTTACTGTATCTTAAGGGAAAAAACTGTGCAGATAATGAGTACTAAAGCCAATCGTCGATGATGATGGTGTTTCGATCGAGTCCATGTCTAGCCTTCGAGTCTTCTCCAATTCCACTTCCACAATACAAAGAAAAAAAATGTTAGACAGACCTTCAATCTAAGACTATTTACTGTTCGAGGGGCAAGGAGAGACAGAGCCAGAGACCAAATGATATAAGGCAAAAAAATTTGCCGAAATGGACAAATCCCAGGTTTTTATAATATTTTGATTATTCGATCGATTTGTTACAAATCACCCAATTCAATAGGTTTTTTCTTATTTTTATACTTGAATGATCTAATACAAGAATCACCCCTGGTTTAGGCTCCAGTTCAGCAAGTCAACTTGCCGAGCCGCCCCAAATTTTAAAACACTGTTTTGGCTAATTATAGTGATAATGTTTTCTCATTCCATGTTTAATTCAAGTATTAAAAAATTGTGGGTCTCATATTTATCCTATTCAATACTTTATTTAGATAGAGTATTGAATGATGGTATAAATATTAAATTATTAAAAAACTATTAAAATAATTACATCATACAGATTTTTGAGAGTAAAAATATATTAAAACTAAACTATTTAAACCTACTAGGGGTGTTCAAATTTTTAATTGGGCGCAATTTCCTACCCTACCCTATTGAGTGGCTAGCCGCAAAAATCAAGTAGGAATACAGAAGAGTTTTTGGTCTTCTCATTAAATCGAATAGGAATGCGAAATACCCATCAATTTCGGCATTCCTACCTGCAAAAAATATATTAAATTTTTTTATATATTTTTTAGTAATTATAAGAGTATTTGTGTGATATAATTTATATTATAACATTGTTATTGTTATGGATATTTGAGTTGCAAAAATATGAACTTGTTTTTTGTGTATGTTACATGATTTGTGGTGAACTTATGATCAATTTGAGCAGTTATGATTTTAATGTATTTCATATGGTTTAAATTTAAAATAATTGTTATTGTAATGTGTAACAATTATGATGAATTGATGTTCATGCTTTCTTATGTTTTATTATAATTGTTGTTTGTAGTTGTTTTAAGTTTTAGTATTATTGATTTATTGTGTTGTTAAATTGATGCATGTTATTTAATTGAATTGTTAAAATTATCCAAAAATTAATGGCTACAAAAGTATTTACCCGACTTCCTACCCGATTAATCAGGTAGGAAGTCGGGTATGAATACCACACCTGATTGGGTAGATAGGCAAAAAAAAAATTATTCGACAAAGTATTGGGTAGGAAGACGGAATACCATATTTCCTACTCGTAGGGTAGGGTAGAGTGAACACCCCTAAAACCTACCAAATAGGTGGGTTTATTTAAAGAGGCTATATGTGGATTTAAAAATACTATTCATTATGGGCGAAAATATTTTTATGTGATAATATCGAGCTCAATGTGTGTATCCAAATAAGGGAGTAAAGGGATACGCCAATTTCAGGCATTATTTTGTCCAATATCTCATCCTAATGCATAAACCAAACATATCTTTGATACATTGAGGGTGCAATATAAAAAATTTGATTTTAAAGAGTAAAAATGAGAATTTTAAAATCTTTCAAGGTACAAAATGCGAAAAAATCCTTTTTAATTTTATAGATCATTCACCGTTAATGAGAAATGTTCACTTGTATACAATGGAATCTAATAAAGTTAGAAATGGTTGTGGATGAGGGGTGGGGGAGTAGTCTTCATTCCCGTACCCACTTAAAAAACTTCATCTACCCCTAGTTCACCCTCGTTAACGGGGCTAATTTCAATTCTCATTCCTATCCACAGGTAAATTTTAATCCCTGCCCCTCGCCTGTCATCCGTCCCTCGCACATAAAATCTGATAAATTGCACAACAATAGTTGGCAAAATAAAACAAATCCCAAGAAAGATAAATATAATTTCAACACATTATACCTACAAAAAATAGGTACACAAGAAATTCATATCAATCAAAAGAAAAACAATGGTGGAATATACAAATTTTCTCTCAAGCATTCCAACGATGTGTGTTTGTATGTGCTAGGTGTGTGAGTTTATTTACGATGTGTGTGTGGAGTATATTTTGTGTATGTTGTGTGTGTCTGTGATGTGTGTGTATGATGGGTATGTTGTTTGTATGTGTGATAAATGTGTATGTGTGTTTGTGTCTCGTTAGCGGTAAGTGTGTGCTATTTGTGTTATGCTACTATGTGTGTATGTATTATGTGGTAAGTGTCTATCTATGTGTTATGTGGTGAGTGTCGGTATGTGTTGTAGAAAATATAAAGAGAAAATAATAGTGAGAGAGAGAGACACTAATGTTGGAGACAAATAGGTTTGTCGGAGTTCCACTGGAATTAGTGTTGGAGATTGATAGAGGAAAGAATTGGGTGCTGGTGGCAGTGGCACTATCGATGGTGATAACACACACATGCACACAAAGAAAGATAGGGAGGAGAGAGATAGATAGTGAATGAGGAAAAGGGGAAATAAATAAGAGATTAAGAGTTGGGCATGACTCTAACAGAGGAATGATCAGTGAATGTGAGTGAGGTGTGATGGAATTATGGGAAAAATGTGTAGAGAATAAAATTCAACTTGTGAGGTGGTTTTATTAAATAAAATATATCTATATATAAAATGTTGAGTAAGGCCAAGGAGGTGCGGGATGGGGCAAGAGTAAGTGTCAATTCATACTCGAATGAGTTTATACAGACCCTCGTATCCATCTATCGTTCAATATGTATAGTCCATCCCCGATCCAAATAGAGCGGGTTTGGACGAATTCTTATTTTTTATTCAATTTATTTATAAACAGAAGAGCCTAAAAATTATTATATTTGTAAGTTTGCACTTAACCTCTACCATACTACTATCATTGCCTTATTCTTTCACTAGCATCGTCACCACTTCACAATTGTCATTATCATTTTCACACGCATCATATTTGTCATTGCAACCACCCCTCTATTACCTTATCCACGATCCCACCATTATCGCCCTTGTTGTCATCATTGTCACCTACATTGTTGTCATCATCACCCATCCGTCACCAAAATTGTGCTACAATCGCTGCATCTAATATTCTGCCACCATCATCATCACCCCACTATCATCACTATCATTTCTGCCACCATTATTATTAACGTCACCTTCACCACAAAAACATCACCATAACTTGTATACCCCTATTGTCGTCGATGTCGCCAGAGATAAGGGTGATTAAGAGATGAACAAGTTGAGAATTTAAGATGAATTGATATTAAAATAATTAAATACATAACATGTTATCATGAAAATAGTTAATTAAATAATTATTCACCAACATATACAGTGCTAAAGAATAAGTGGATGCTTATTTCTTAAATTTTTATCTTATGTTTAATAAGTGCTTAATTTTCAAGCAATGTGGATTTTTATCGCACATAATTGAGAAGTGTGACATTGTTTCAATTTCAAGTACTATGTTAAGTTATCAAACACCACATTAGTAGATCATCACCTCTATCCCTATACCTAAGGAGGAGAATACAAGAGGATATATCTAAGTTAGTGCACAAAGATTATTGGGGGAATTTTTAGCCAAGGGAAATTAAGATCATGACAGGCAAACTAGCAATATAGCCTGAACAAATTCTTGGAAGGGATAATAAAGGAAATTGGTGGAGGGTACAACAAAATCAATTCAAACGATACAAAAAATTATTGTAGTTTCTATCTACAAATACAAATAGATCGATACATGTACATATAGACCAACTATTTTTTGTAAATACAAAAAAATTGACTCTGGACTAATTGAGTTACCAATTCAAATTATTGTAGTTTTTACCTACCAACTCAAATCCAGTCAGGTCAACAAAAAGTCACCTATGAAATATGGCACAATTTTGTGGAAACATAGTTGCCTAGACTATTTACCTCACTACTTTAGAACACCGTAGACTATTGTCTTCTTCGACACCCTCACTACTTTGAAATACCATAGGCTCTGGTATGTCAGACTATTTGTTTAGTTTAATGGTCATAAGTATTTAGATCAATTTATGCGTATCTCAATTAATTATTTTTTCAATCTGGTTAAAACCAAACTATTTATGTTCGA